TTACGCCGCTTTTAGCAATATTCCAGCAACATCACGGCGGGGGACACCAGAAATGGGCTTCACACATTGTGCCCATGTGGGGATTCGAACCCAGGTCTTCGGCGTGACGAGCCAACGCTTTAACCCTTAGGCTACCCCACCGCCCCGCGACTTTATGAACTGCATATGGCTGTGAGTATATTTCTGTTACCTTTTAGACAACTTTGACAGAATATCGATTTTAGTATCGCACGCTCTGTACGATTATGTATCATTCTTGTTTACACGGTATATATAGTTTTACTAAATCCAGGCAAAGAGGTTCGATGCCTCCTAATCCAGTTAATGGAGTGTTTAAAATGAATGTGCCATTTGACAGACAGTCGGACAAGTATTAGAAATATGCTGTGAGTTATATTCTGTCTATGTTTAGATGCCCATAAATGACACGAATATGTTAGAAGGTGCACTTTGCCCTGATCTCCCCCACTGAAACATGCGCATGTGCATCGTGGATACTGCAGAGTTTCATGCATGTTGCGCAACTGTTTGGGCATCATTTTTTGTGTATGTGTTTCACGTAGCCACCAAATTCTGAACATGGGTCGGTCGGTCGGGGGAAAAAAACTTAATAAAGACAAATTTATCTGACTAATGTTCTTGATTCTCATTTATTGTAATTCTTATTACAATTTCTCGCGTTCTTTGGACTTGTGGCAGCGACTGATTGAAAGATAAACATTTTATATGACGAGGCGGTACGTTTAGGTTCGAGTCGGCGGTGTTGGAATGAAAAAAGTTTTTTGGGGGGATCGGCAATAAAATTAGAAGGGTCGGTCGGGCTATAAGAAACACAAAAAATAAAAATACTGCCCTTACTAGCGCAAACTAATCACAAGAAGGAATTCAGTTGCTTGTTGCCCGTACAAAACGAATAAACAACGGTAAACTATCCGGTACGTAGTAGATTACCACTAAAATAGTAAAATAAAATATACTGAAAAGAAAACTATGAATAGTCAGTGTGAATGAGAACACGTGGCTCGATGGTTCAACGTGTTTTGGAGTCCGAATTCAACAAATATGAAGTTTTCTTTACCTACCATGCGAATACATTAGATCAGGATAAAGGCCAGGGTCCTCGTTTGAGGAAGCATTTACTGCTTGTTGTCCGAGAGTATGAAACCACGAACAAAGGAACACAGGAAATGTGCGCGGATTTCGTTGTGTAGAAAGCCATGCGTGATACATACAGAGTCGTTAGGGAACATGTACCAATTAGTGGGACGACCTACCGTTGATGAAGGCAAAATGTGTTTGGGGGTGAGTGAGTGAGTTGGGTTTTACGCCGCTTTTAGCAATATTCCAGCAATATCACGGCGTGGGACAGCAGCAATGGGCTTCACACATTGTACCCACAAGATGTGTTTGAGTTGGGTATGTTCTATTATTGTGAAATATGTTAAAGTGAAAAATGCTGTGGTAGACAGATAAGCACAAATAATGATAATAAGTTTTATTCAATGAAATGCCACTAGCTTTCTCTGCTGAAACGTTAGTATGCATGTCAATCTGTCAGCTACCCTGTTTGAATAAAGTCAAAGTTGACACCCTCTTGATATAAATCATTGATTAGAGTGATGTCCTATTATCTTGATATAAATCATTGATTAGAGTGGTGTCCTATTATTGTGGGTTCGAATCCCAGAATTACCCTGATTGTTTGTAAAGTCACCATTATGCTCATAGGTGTCCTCTCGTATAATGACCCCCAAGGCAACTTTAAACCATACTGACTTACTCTAAAATTTAAGAAAAGACCCACCGAGTTTACAACTATGTCAAAACGTACCGGTTTTCGATCAGCGTCATAGGCACCAGATATGATCATCGTTTTTTGGATACGTCTGAACCGCGAGCGCAGCCCTAGTTATCGAACGATCAATTCTAACCCGGATTGCTTTTCACGGGTATATGACATAATTGAACTAGATGCAGCCTTCGTTTAACACCCTATATAATCGTTAATGTCGGCAAAAATAGAAAAAACTATGTATTTTAGTTGCATTTATCTCTACAATTTATGTAGTTGAATATGTCAAAAAGGTATCAGCGTAAATGTATCTGTTAAACTAAGTTCGGCCCTAGTTATCGACTAACCCGGATCTTCACGTGGTAGGAACTAGATGAGCCCTCGTTTAAAGTACGGAGAAAAAGGACTCATTTACTGAGGGGAAATTAGTGCAGAAACTGTTCGGCCTAATACAGCTGGTAGAGAATAAAACGGAGAAAAAGGACTCAACTGAGGGAAACTGATCATAATGGCAAAACGTCAGACCTACTCATAATGAAAACGTCAGACCTTGCTTGTGAGAATTTATGTCCTAAAAATAAAAAGTTGTTTAACAAACTATCATTAAAATATTGACACAGTTCACCATTTGTTACGAGGGAGGAGTGCAGAGAAAGGGACCGCCAGGTGTGCGAGAAAGGATGGAGACGGCACAGCACAGGTTAATGAATCAATAACTTTGTCGGCACTTGTGCACGTGCTTCTCTAACACCTGGCTGTCCCTTTCCCTGCACTCCTCCCTCTTAACAAATAGTGAACTGTGTCAACATTTTAATGATAGTTTGTTAAACAACTTTTAAAATTTTAGGACATAAATTCTGCAAACAAATCACAGAGTTGGTCTGATGTTTTGATTATGATCAGCGTTTCATTGAGTATTATATGTTTATTAGTTTTCGAGTTAGATTGCAATTCATCGGTCCGCTTTTGAGCCAAACGGACTATCAGATAAGATAATCCTTTAGGGCAATTATACTGAGGAGGTACACGGCACGTCATAACAATTTACAAATAATATCCAGTCCTGTCAATCTTCGGGTGGTCATGCCACCTATATACTACGATGCGTTTCTATGGTTTTCGTGTATCATACTCTTTTACATATCTCAACATAAACTTTATGAAAGAAAAACACGTAAGATGCATGTTAATTACTAGATGAGACCTAGTCAACACACATGAAAAAGTACAAAATATCTTTGAGATGACCCCTTGTGCCTGTAGGCAGCACGTGCATTTCATGCCAGGTGAGTCGACGGTCCGTCGTCATACCTGGCTGAGCGACCTAATTGCCATCTATAGTCTGATCTGTTGTTTCAGCAGCTATTCGTATTTTTTCTAAGTTGTGCCCGATTTTACGAGTAAACATGCTTTTCTGGATATCGTATTACGCATCCCACTGAACGCCCAGTTAGGCCGAAGTGGGTTATTTCGACATATGCTATTTGCAATTGTGTAAATTTTAGGGATACAGAGTAACAGCCCCAAAACAGTTTTTTTTCTATTTCCGACAGTACTATAATGAGGTAGCCTAGTGATTAATACATTAACCCGTCACGTCGAAGACCCAGGTTCGATTCCCCACATGGGTACAGTGTGTGAAGCCAATTTCTGGTGTCCTCCGCTGTGATATTGCTGCAATATTGCTAAAAGCGGCGTAAAACCATCCCACGCGTGCATATATTAATGATCTGCAACTGTGACGAGAAAGTCTCCTTTTCATATTCAAGAGTCCTTAACCTCCAAGACTCATTTCAATAAATGTTTAATGTACCATCAATATCTGCTGAAAAGCTGGTTGTACAGATTGACTGGGAGACAGGAATGTCAAAACATGCTATCAGGGAATCGATTTCAGTTTCTGCTTGAAAACATATAGAAATTATCAGCCGACGTAGCCTAAGATATGACACTACCCATATGGAAACACACGAGGGAAATAATCTCTTTATAAGAAGTTCCTTCTTAAAATAATATATTGTTAGTGTTTGTGTACTTTGCAAAGTATCTTTGTAAATGTGGTTCGTGGTTGGATTTCAGTGTACCACCCTATTTGCCAAATAGATTATAGCTGTGTCTGTCCAAATTAACACACTTTTTCACGCGACTAATTATCTTTTGCTTTGATACTTGACAGGAGAACACCCTGAATCAATTGGCACAAATCGCCATCAAAGGGCGATAACTCTGGCCTCTTCAGCTTTGAAAATACAGTCCGCATAACGCATAATATTTCAACGTTTATATTGAGCGTTCTACTTTCAATGTGAGAAAATAAATGAGTGTATAATGATTTTGATATTAAGTGATTCAAAAATTGTAAAATGGGATTTAAAAGCAAAATAGTGCCTGCGATATAAAATCATGGTTTGGGTTGGGATTTTCTGTAAACCTCATTCCTAGTGTCACTGCTGGACATTTCTAGAGCCACGTACTGGGCTGTAGGGGTAGTGGCATGTAGGGGTTATGGGATACAACCCGTACACTGTGTGCCACGATTTGAGTTCAGTCAGTACACCCCACACATTAATCGTATCCTTACATAATCCCAGAGACCGGTACGGCACTCCCACTATTGATTAATCCATGCTAATAGCTGCCGCTATGCGCTGTAAGTTATACATCTGCAACAGAGCATGAAAGTAGAATACAACGTCTACCAGAGAGAGTCCGGGGTCAGATTCAGTACTTTGGAGGGGGTAGGGGTGGGGGGTGGTGAGTGGTGTGAGAAGGGTGTCTACTTGGACCATGCGTAACTTCAGTAGGAGGGTAGACTCCCAAAAATCTTCAGAAAATGAATCACAAGTAATGTAAATAATTATATTTTGACTTTCACACCTCTTGGGTCATTTGTAACTCTGGTAGGGTAGCGAAAGCCCTCATAAAGGCCTACCAAAAACATCACAAACGTTGTGTTGATCATTATCAATTTTCCTTTAAAACACATGGGTCACTCGTAATTTTGGGAGGGGTGTAGCAAAAGATACATAATCACGATATATAAACTATTATTTATTTTACATTAAAACCACTTCAGTCATTCGTAACTTTGGGAAGAGGTAGAGATAGCCTTGATAAAAGCAGCGTAAAACTAAACTCACTCTCTCACTCATACGAATTAATACTGGTCTTTACGTCCGGAGTAATGACGTCCCTGTATACATTAATCTATGAACTATTATTTATTTTACATTAAAACCACTTCAGTCATTCGTAACTTTGGGAAGAGGTAGAGATAGCTCTCCCCAAACCACCACAAACACAAATGGCAAATGTATGCAGTTCGAACTGTAGACGGGACTTAGGCGGTGTATGTGTCTAGTTTCTAGTTTCTGAAAAATCGATTGTCTGCTTTGATTGGTCCAATAATGAATTTCTATTTCGTCCATCAGTCACTATATCAGTCACTATTCAGATCTTCGTGTTGCCAATGAGTTCAGTTTTACGACCCTTTTAGCAATTCCAGTAACATCACGGCTGGTGACACCAGAAATGGGCTTCACACATTGTACCCATGTGGGGAATCGACCCGGGTCTTTGGCGTGACGAGCGAACGCTTTAACCACTAGGCTACCCCACCGCCCCTCATGTTGACAGTTCGAGGTTGATCATACACACACTCCACGACATCGTCACTCTCTGTGTCGTTCTCAAACACAACCCTCTCTGTCCTTGTCACACCAGCCGAGACAGGTTGGTTTACATACGTCGAGCCTTCGTATTCTCTGTCATAGCTGGAGTCCAGTGTCACCCTGGATCTCCGGAACTGGATCACGTCGTAAAAGTTACCTCCCTTCACACTGACACAGGAACACCATTTTTGACGGAATCTGTAGGATACAAACATATTGTAAACGGTTTGGTGGTTTGGTTTGGTTTCTGTTTTACGCCGCACTCAGCAATATTCCAGCTATATGGCGGCGGTCCAATAATGATCCAGTGATCAACAGCATGAGCATCAATCTACGCAATTGGGATATGATGACATCATGTTGAAAACAGAAATATGATCGTTTATTGCATAGTCTTTTAAGATGCTTGAGAATTTGGTTGTAAGTTAGAACTTCTTAAAACCGGAAAAGAAACTTATAACGACACCTGCATGTATATGTAGTACACATCCTGGAAGTTCGGGACCATATAATTCTTTCGCCATGAAAGATTAGCTGAAGTAATATGAACGAATAGCATGGTCGTTATCATACATAGAATGTGTCAAAACAGGCAAAGATTGTTTCACAAACTCGTATAAAGGTTATTCCACAAAACGTTTCCGTTCAAACGTATCAACAACATCATATTATTTTTATATGGCGTTAGTAGTCAACGCTCGCTCACAACAGCTGAACTCTCGTAAGAATTAAGGGGCGGTGGGGTAGCCTAGTGGTTAAAGCGTTCGCTCGTCACGCCGAAGGCCCGGGTTCGATTCCCCACATGGGTACAATGTGTGAAGCCCATTTCTTGTGGTGTTGCTGGAATATTGATAAAAGCAGCGTAAAACTAAACTCACTCACTCACTCGTACGAATTAATACTGGTCTTTACGTCCGGAGTAATGACGTCACTGTATACATTAATCTATGATACTTACCGAAAGCCAATCAGAAGAGCAGTGGTACTAATGGTGCAGGCCATCAACATCGCCAGGATCAACGACCATGTTGGCACTGACGATTGCCACGTGGTCATCGCAATATCTGTATATACACACATGCATTATAATACATATCCGCCACCGACCATTGAATTTTCGGAAAATTGTTTCATTATTATGTTTTACATTTTCTGTTTAGCTTCAAATAACAACAAACATGTTCACTAGACTGGCTCAATGCCACGTTAGAGAATGAAAAACATGCTGATGGTTTCATTTGTTTGTTTGTTGTTTTACGCCGCACTCATCAATATTCCAGCCATACGGCGACGGCCGGTAAATGATCGAGTCTGGACCAGACAATACAGTGATCAACATCATGAGCATCGATCTACGCAACTGGGATATGATGACATGTGTGAATCACGTCAGCGAGCCTGCCCACCCGATCCCGCTATTTGCCTCTTACCACAAGCATGGGTTTTAAGTTTTTAAGTAGTGACAGAACAATATTTTCACAAACTACTATTGAATACAACATTGAAACACAAAGGAAAGAATATGAAAACTGCCTCACATTTGGTATGCTAGGCTCCACTACAAAACTCACCGTCAGTTGTGTCCATATGAAATGTATAGCAGGCCATCTGGCTGTAAAGGTCTCCGCTCCGGGCCGACACACAGAGAATCTGGACTGAGGTCGTGTTTGGTCGTGGGAACATGTAGCTTGTATATGGGGTGGTGAATCTCTGTGTGGAGGAACTGGACCACAGTGACCCATTGAAGGAGTCGGCGTGACCCTGGACTGACCAGTAGACGAACAGGAATGCTGTGTCATAGTCATGTCGTAAGTCGGATGGCACTGCAGGCGCTAAAAGTGAGTATGAATGAGTGAGTATGGTTTTACGCCGCTTTTAGCAATATTCCAACAATATCATGGCGGGGGACACCAGAAATGGGCTTCACACATTGTACCCATGTGGGGAATCGAACCTGAATCTTCGGCATGACTAAACTGACTTATGGTTGAAACATTCTCTCGTCACGCCGAAGGGCACAATGTGTGGAACCTAATCTGGTGTTCCCGCCGTGATATTGCTGGAATGTTGCTAAAATGTTGCTAAAACGATGTAAAACAATACTATTACAATTGCCCGTTTAAATAAAACAAATGAATGAAATGTAGTTCTTACGAGTTCGCATGGTGGCTGTTCTTGGTGGTGCTATCTTAATCTTGCTGTTCTCATCTACGGCGACACTGACGGTGACGTTGAAAGCCGTTCCAGGCGTCAGATCAGTTAAGTCGAGGATTTCGAACGGTTTGATGAATGTCCTTCTATTGCCGTTACACAAGACATGATACTTGAAAGTGGATGCCACAGGCGGTAGTTCAGGCGTGGCCCATGTAACCGCAGCTGTTGTCGACGTAGTTGTCACCGACCGTATGTTTCGGATGAACAGCTCACTCACTGTAAGGAATAGCCTCGAATGTAATATGCCTCCAACAAATAACGACAAATACCCTAACCTATGCCCAAGCTTCGTCCAGGAATTTGAAGCGAAGTCACCTAAACTCTTATCATACCTCATACACAAATGTCTTTTTCTGATTGGCTGGGCGCTCTTCTATTATTTTTAATGTAACGATTTTCTATGTTACCCGCTGGGAATGCCGAACTATGGGAATTCATTTGGTACTTCGTCATAGTAATTCTGTATCTCGAATACTTAAATCGCGTCCGATGCACGGAAATTACCGATTTGTGGCGAATGCAAATCGATGTAAGGGACATAACTAGATAACTTTCTTGTCTGTCGTTGTCGGTATTGCCTAATTGCCTAACTCTGGTACTCCTTATTATGATCAGATACCCGCGCTTCAAACAGTTCAAAATTAACATTGAGGTGTTCGGTAAGATAAATACGTTGTTCACTGGTCCTTCGGGTCCTATATACCCCTCGTGACCAGTGAATAACTTATAATGTTTATGTCATGTGTAGCTTACGATATCCATTCATTCATGGGTGTTTTGACGGGCAGTGGGAGCGAGTTTTGTTTGTTGTCTAACGCCACGGACCTAACAATCTAGTGTCGGACTATGTTTCGTTGGGTTTTCAACAGATTGCATGTGATGTTTTTTAGAAGGCATTCAATCTAATTTTGCGCATGTTCTGAAAACGAGTTTATCAGGAAAACAGTATTTATATATTACTGTGGTTCTCTCTATAAAAATTACAATGATCAAAAGTGGTATGGATGTCGACTATTTGATTTTATTTTAATCATTCGTTCGATTTTTTCAATTCCTTAAGAAAGAATAGCTTTAAAAGTATTATTTCCATTGGTGTTCACTGCGAGTACTGACTGATCCCGATGTGACCAATAATCCGAAACAAAGAAAATACATATCGATTTTAAGTCTTATGTAACTGAAAAATTAAAGAACTGTTGTTAAATTTGTATATTTCTAATTAATCATCACTCATTCCTGTGAGAGTTTGTAAAATGTCAACCGTGGTTTGGTAATACTGACCGGTTCATTGAAGACTAGGGCAAGAAATGATTTTGTAATTACATCACCCCTACCATGTTCTAAATGCTGTAAATGCGTGTCGGAGAAGGCAAATGTATCTATCTTCAACAATGCAACATGTAAAATACCCATCAGCATTTGTTTTCAAATGTTTAAGAATGATTATTAATACCTTTAAAACCATGCGTGGGTATTCTTGCAGCTGCGATCTTACGAAAAAAATCTAATTTTTGTGGATATAATGACACTAACTTAGATATTTTCAAATTAAAATCAAAGATTTGTATAGTTTCTTCTTCTCCTTTGTCTATGTATCGGCATACTCACATGCCACACACCGCTTGTCAAAGGTATTAGCGTGGTAGTGTGTGTCGTCGCACTGGCAGTAGTTGGCACGGCAGCTGGCGCCGTCCACGCACTCCATATCGCCAGAACACGGCATGTTCGGGAGAAGACCTGAAAAATCTCTAAATTACACTCGGAAACATAATTCTTTTAAACAAAATTATATATAGCGTCAATGTGAATGTCATGGTAAATGCAATGTTTCTTTTAGTTTGTGAGCATAACTCTGATTTAGAATCGGCGGTATATGAGAAACACTCCATAATAACCAACTTAAAAGATAGACATATTGGCCCCAGAAATCAATGTGATTTAAGAGTGAGTGAGGTTAGTTTTAGCAATATTCCATCAATATCACGGCGGTGGACACCAGAAGTGGGCTTCACACATTGTTACCATGTGGGAAATCGAAACCGGGCCTTCGGCATGGCGAACGAACGCTTAAACCTCTAGGCTACCCCACCGCCCATGTGATTTAAGTGTATGTATACAGAAAAGAGGAGATTATGTTAGGACAGTGTTTGTTTAGAGCAATGTCGTCACGTCTCGGTTTAATGACGATGTAGGTTATGTGTTTCAAACAGACTCCTGACATTCTGTTAACCTTGTGAAATTGTAAACCAAGAAACTTAAAAATGCAACAAAAATCACTTTCTTTTCACTCGAAAACTCATCGTGGACATCGAAACTGAAACTGACATCATTCTGTAAATATTCAAGCGTCAGAGCTGTCATGGCGCTTGAGTAAGACTATTAGCCATCCTCGGTCAGCGGCGTCAACGCGATCGGTACGCTAACATGAGTTGAGTTGAGTTGAGTTGAGTTTAGTTTAGTTTAGTTTAGTCTTACTCCGCTTTGAGCAATGTTCCAGCAGTATCACGGCGGGGGACACCAGAAATGGGCTTCACACATTGTACCCGCGTGGGGAATCGAACCCGGGTCTTCTGCGTGACGAGCGATACTTTAAGCACTAGGCTACCCCACCGCCCCCAACATTACATGAAGTGTTAATAACGTAAGTACGGCAGAAAGTTGCACAACGAACATTGCGACCTGTCGTAAACACTGCGCCAGCAGGGGGCCTGATAAATCGCTCGCTCGTCACGCAGAAGATCCTAGTCCGGTTTCACACCACGACAATATACCTGACAACAGTGTGTAGCCAGTTTCATACATTCTCCTACTTTAACACAGACTTACTACATGGTTCGGAGAACGGGATACGTCTCCATGTACTGACAGGAGTGTATGCAACAAGGGAAATACTAACGTTGTTCACACTGTCCTTTCAAGGGGTAGTGCTCGATGTTGCATTGACAGACGTTGACCCAACACTCAGCATTGCTGACACACTCGGACGTCTGTCGACACTCCTCCCCTTGTCCTTTACCTGGAATATACACCGAGAGTGAGTGAGTTTAGAATACGCCGCAATCAGCAATTTTCCAGCTATATTGCGGCGGTCTGTAAATAATGGAGTCTGGACCAGACAATCTAGTGATCAACAGCATGAGCATCGATCTGCGCAAGTGAGAACCGATGACATGTGTCAACCAAGTCAGCGAGCCTGACCACCCGATCCCGTTTGTTGCCTCTTACGACAAGCATGGGTTAATGAAGGCTCATTCTAACCCGGACCTTCACGGGTAGAATATACACAGAGAGGTAGGTGATGTATCATGATGATGGTGATGATAATGATGATGACGGTGATGAATGATGATGATGAGGAGGATGACGGTAATGGATGGTGATAACGACGACGGCGATAGATGATCATGAAGATCAGGCTGCTGCTGATAATAATGATGACGACGACGACGACGACGATGATGATGATGATGACTACTCACCGCTTATGCATGCTGTATAGGGTATGAGCAGTACGAACACCTGTGGACAGAGCATAGCACCGAGTAAGACAGCCTGAAAATATTGCTATAAGAAAATTTTCCACAAACAAACCTTTGGAAAACATCTTCTAGCAGAAAAATGTCCACTGGAATATTTTAACTAGGGTATCACATCCAATGCAAAGACTCACTTCTGGGAGAGGGGGTGAGAAGTGTGTAATTCCTATTACAACCAGACCATGATAAGAGTAACATACTTCTCTCAAACTGTCTAGGTCACGTACTTGGTGTACCCTTCTGATATTGTGTATTCAAAACTGTTGCACGTGTGCGCTTAGCGCAGCCTGGTATTTAATACTAAACAGGATATGACTCATCTCCGTTCTTTGCTTGGTTATTGTTTATACACCTGTATTCAGTCCCGTATATTTTCATTAAATGTCTCACTCGTATCTGTAATATCCTTAAATCCGATACATTAAAGATTAAAAAGACTTTGATAAAACTATAAAACCATGCATTATGTACCCATCTATATAACAATTATAAGGCGAGAGGAAACTGTTAAGTGGATATCTTGTGAGAGGACTTGCCGGCCCTCGTGCTAGATTTATCCAGGACAGGGTTTGGGCCATTTCTTCTCTGTATGTAAATCATAACGAGGAAGAAATTATCGAAAACCATTATTTTCGAACGTGATTTTTTTTTCACAGAATGACAAAATATTTCTCACCGACAAAAAGTTCATCACAAACAATATGCATACGTGTCGGATCAGACACAGAAGCCGAAGACCCGGGTTCGAATCCCCACATGGGCACAATGTGTCAAGCCCATTTCTGGTGTCCCCCGCCGTGATGTTGCTGGAATATTGCTAAAAGCGGCGTAAAACCAAACTCAGTCAGTCAGACACGGAAACTTATATTACTTAAAATTATATTAATTTTGCATTTGTTGAATGGAATAGTTATAATCTGTATTGCTATTCAACACGTGAAATAAGTATCAAGCGAAAGTTTACTCACCAGAATATAGTCGTCAGTCATTCTGTATCTCGTCTCTGTCAGTATTAAGTGCACACTGACTGTTATTGAAGCATTACATGTTCTGGGCTACGAGTCAGACGACTCAACATGAAATACTTCCTTGTGTACAACACTATCTTAGATTTGCATTGTATGGTTTTATGTTTACCGTGTGATACTACTGTTATCATGTGTGACGGCTGATCTAAAAGCTCACGTGGTTGTAGTCTCCATATCCATATGTAGTCTAAATATCCAAGAAAGCCCACGCAAGTCTAGAAAATGTGGCAAGTCTGAAAATGAAGAAAGTCTCAGGGCTCCTTTTCATTATATTTTTTTTTTTTGACTATGAACTTTTTTGCAGTAATATGTTCATTTCAGAGACTAGTTGTTAGTCTAGTGGGTTGGTAGCGATGTAACATGTCCCTAATATAAGCTGGGAAGTTTTCATCATTTACTGCTGAAAGAGTCTTGGAAGTGATGCAGTGATCTACGGGTAGCCAGTGGAGTGATTTCAGGACGCGTGCGTGCGTGCGTGCGTGCGTTCGTGCGTGCGTGCGTGCGTGCGTGTGATATTGATCAGTTCTCTTGGTACAAGTCACCATCCTCGCAGCACTGGACTCCCCATTTCGACCTTTACACAGATAAAACATAAGACGCGTGACCTCAAAGGGCGTCCGTTGACGGCAACGTACCGCCTCGTCCATCACAAGAGGACATGACGGAATACTCACTGGTCAATGAGTGCTTGTTCAAGTTCTTTCAAGGTTAGGAGCTGATTCTTTCTGCTGTTGTCTTCCAAGCTCATCCCAAATGTTTGCGATCTAATTCAAGTCTGGTAACGGGAACGGTAGTCTATGACATCAACACCGACGTTACGTAATAATTACGGGGCAGAACTGCAATAAAGGGCGAAGTACTGACGTGTGTTGAAATATCTGCCCATGACCAAGTTGATTGATTGATTGATTGATTGATTGTTGTTTAACGCCGCACTCATCAATATTCCACATATTGAGCTGGCGTAAAAGGCGACTAATGGGATCGTGTGGTCAGGCTCCCTGACTTGGTTGACACTTGTCATCGTATCCCAATTGCGTAGATCGATGCTCATGCTGTTGATCACTGGATTGTTTGGTCCAGACTCGATTATTTACAGACCGCCGCCATATAGCTGGAATATTTCTTAGTGCGGCGCCAAAAACATCAAACAAACAAACAAGATGTTTGAATTCGCTGTGAAGAGTTGTGTCCCTTAGGTATGGAAGGATCCTATGATCGTGAATTATTCTGCCACAACGCCCTAATTGTGTCTAGGTTTGTCAACAGCATATACCGCGCCGGTTGGTCCTGCCATAGTGCTAAACGTTTGATATCTGTACCACTTGGGGCGTTCATCCCATAACTAGCTGTGAGGTAGCTGAAACACTGGTCAAAGCGGCGTTAAACCCACTCACTCACTACCTATATAACGATTAAAACTATATCACAGTTCGGTGGGGAGAAACCAGACCAACACAGAACTGAACTGCAGAAGCCTTTTCAAGTAATAATAATGAGAATAACGCGCATTTCCCAGGCTAGATATCCTGCTCAAAGCGCACAATCTGATCATTATATCTATGTTTGTACGCATCGATGCTAGTATTTATATATGTACCGATGTATGTACCTAAGTGTGTATATATGTCAACAATCTTTTCATATTTTTTAAACGCTTTTTAAATATTGCTAATATTCTTTTTTAAGGTGTCATTTCGGCCTCTCGAGGCCTGGTGTTTGCATTTTATATGCTGTACTATGCTGTCCCATCATTTATAACACATGACACTATAATAAACTACTACTATTATTATTATTATTATCCCGGATAACCCAAGCTGCCTCTTAGGCTTAAGAAGGTTAATTAGTTTCACGACTTAATTCACCAGGTACCCATTATCTGCCGGGTGAACAGAGGCAGTTTTGAATAAACCCACATGCTTTCTAAAGTGAGACCACATCTACCACATGTGCTTCGTTGTGGGACAGGACTAAGTCCTACAAACTCTCAGGAGTGACCCATCCAAGGACTCTCCGCGCCCAACGTTGCTTAACTTCAACTGATTCTGACCTGAGCTGTGCACAGGACCACACGCCAAATACTCTTGAGAGTAGACATGCTCGTACTGATAACCTTGAATATTCATGTTTGTGGTTTACACCCTTGTAGGACCACACTCAATACATCCAGGCGCATTGAGTAATAAATCCCAGTCTGACAGCTGTTTTAAAAGCACTACACCTACTTTTCCGGTGTGATTATGAGTCACGGTATAACTGTATATGGGCATTTCACGGGAACATGTATTGCCGGAAAAGGAATGAATAGAAAAAGAATCACAACAGTTATCAAATCGTTACAAGACTTGGCCAACTTGCACAAAGCGATCTTAGCATTACAACTATCTCAAGGTTCTGTATTAGATATACCCACACTTTCCGAGGTGTGCCGCTCAATACCCCTACTGTTTGAGTCGTGTGGCCTCCGAGGCGTTAGCCGAGAAGACCACACGACTCAAACAGTAGGGGTATTGGGCAACATACCGAGGAAGTGTGGGTACATCTGACTTATACCTCACTTCTGGTCGAGTTACGAGTTTATTATAACACTTTATGTTCTATTTATGACAAAAAAATTATTTCTTTTCCATCTGTTTCATTTATTTTTAGCCCACTTGTTAAGACCCTCAAATGTCCCGCGTCTATAGTCTGTTTGCAGTGAAACCAACCGATCAATTTCACTTTAAACAAAAAAGTACTCAAATAAGTGAAATTACGATTGCGAATCTCATAATTTGACCTTGCCAAATGAACATCTCAGAATTATATTCAACTTAGAATAAAATTTGTTTAACAAATGATCATAGTTTCAAATCAATATTATTGTTTTGTATTACAATTTTAGGGGGGTAAGCGCAGGAGTTGGAACAGTGAAACAAATGCCCGTGCGGTACGTAACAAGCGTTAACTTCTACCAAACCTGCATGTTCTGGGTGTTTCATTTAATGTGCATACCCCATTGTAATACAAACCAATAACAGCGCTTTGAAACTATGATCGTTTGTTAAACAACTTTTATCCTAAGCTGAATATAATTCTGAGATTTAAATGTTCAATAGGCAAGGTAAAATTATGGGGATTTGCAATCTTAGTTTCACTTTATTTGATTTACTTTTTTAAAGGGATATTCATCGGTACGTTTTCACTGCAAACAAACTATAAGCAGTCGATTGCACGTGCATGCACGGGCTTGCACGCTTTCACACGATTTTAAACACCAGTTCGGGCTCGAGAATGACTTCAAGTAGCCCCAAATATGTGCAATATTACTGATAATTGACATTTGTATGGGCAGACCAATGCGCATGCGTTCTCTGACTCGCATGTGGCATAGAAAACATTTGGAAGATCACACGTTCGTTCGCCATGGATGCTGAAGAGTGAACAGAGGATTTTCTTTCTCAAATTGACAGTTCGTTAGCGTCACATTTCGACCTGGATGATAAGGAAGATTTTGAAACAATCCAAATCTCAATGTGAGTCCATTGAAATAAAATTATATTTCGCCGTTTGTTGTGTCTTTATTGCTTCGGTATACCCTAGTGAAAAAGTGTAGGTGTATCATTGACACACCTACACTTTTGACAGGTGTACCGGTCAATACACCTACACTTTTAACAAAGGAAACCATGGCAACGAGACCGGAAGTGGGGTATAAGTTAGAGTTACGACGTCGTAGAGATAAGAGCGCTTTTTGCAAGCGGGCCCTCAAAAGTCGTCGAAAGAATGCAAACGTAAGGCCCAAAACAAAACTACAGAGTGAGTTAGTGAGTTTAGTTTTACGCCGCACTCAGCAGAATTACAGCTATCAAAATATAGAAAATCAACTACATCATGACTCCATTGTCCTTGCATTAACTACAAGTAACTGAGATTTTTGCTGAACAAAACTTTTTGTCCTTATCCTATCATTTACCTTGACAATAGTCCAGTTTCATGAGACACGTCTGTCCGCAACAGCAACAGAATCTGTGAAGTCTGCATCTACATCATCTGCATTGAGGCTACCGAAGTCCTTTGTCACGGCGACGACACGATACGGATGTAACAATGTTTATTTGTTGATTTACGGCGCACTTAACAATATTTCAGCTTCGTGGCTGCGGTCTGTAAATGGAGTCTGGACCAGACAATCGATTGATCAACGTCATCATCATCGATCGGCGTAGTTGGGGTATGATAACGTTTCAACGAAGTCACCGAGCCTGTTCATCCGATCCCCAAGTATGGGTTGCAGGGGACCAATTAACAATTACTAGTATATACTCACTTGTATCACAGCTTAAAATCACAGAAACCGTAATTGCTCGGCTATATATTTGCATAAAAACAAACGGAAACATTCTCCGTGTAGCTCCGGGATCCAGCTATCCAACGACACGTAAGGCGATTTATGCAGCTCCCAAGGGAGCCGTGCTGAAATAGGTAGTACAATCTGGGAGGTGGGGATTTGTTCAAAACGTGGGCAGGGGTGGACCAGTGGCCTAAGGCGTGAAGTCGCGTGTCCGGTTCCCTTATAATGTAAAATTGGGTTCAAAGCCCAGATGGGATCTGATGATAATAATTGGTTTCCAGCTCGTGCCTATCACCAAAGTTGTTTCACTTGTGCCCTTCCTGACACATTTCAGAAATACCTATGGAAAGGTGCCAAAATGGTCTCTACAGCAAGTTATATTATTATTAATGTATAATATTTTGTTAAGTATGCCTGGTGAGAACTGTAGGGTAGTGGGGGGTACTTGTGAAGTGGGGCGAAGTTTTTTTCTCGTTAAGACGAAATCTCTGGTCAGATTATCCTAATGGGCACCATGTGTAAAGCTCTTTGTGTCTACTATCTAATTCCGGCTGAGATCCAAAACCCCAAACTCACATTAGCTTAGGATTGTGCGTTTTATAGATTTAACAATAGATATATTTTAACTGCGGGGAAACGAAACAGTTGGTCAGATGTTATAAACTATATATGATATTTACGAATACAGTGAAGCCTCGTTAATCCGGACGGTTGCGTTTCTCAGCAAATTCGTCCGGGTTGCGAATCGTCCGGACTACTGAAGTCAACCCAAGTTGAAGCAGGAGTTGCTTCCCTTACTATTACAAAAACGACACGACTCTGGATAAAACAAATAAGAATTTACATGTATTAGCTTAACGGGTTTAACATAAAATATGGTATTGAGCTATTTCTCTTGAAATATTTTGTATTTGTGCTGATGCAATGCTCTGTTTGAAAAAGAGTTTGAATGATTCAAGGCCACAATATGAACATTCTATTCTCGGGGAGAATTAGACAAAGAGGTCACTTAGTGTGTTGCGTGTCGGTGTACGCCGGTTTCGGCAACATAAAACAACAATGATTTTAATTTGTTCTTTTATTTGTTTTACACCAGACAATATTTTCTCGACAGCTAATTTATGTAACTCCTGTGCTGAATTAGACCTCCCTAACAGTTCTCACATTTAAATGACATGAAAACGATATCGAAACCCATTCTCGCTGAAACGGCCATAAAATCAATTCTTGTATATAACTGCGATTTGAAACCTGTGATAGGACAAAGTCCAGCATATTTTTAACTCGATAGCTATACTTTGATACCCTAATATCCTTACAGTTGTCATATTTAATGAAAATGTAGCAACAACAACGACAACGACAACGTGAACATGAACGTGAATGTGAACGTGAAACCTCAATGATTGTCATAAAATTCATGTTCTGCTGCAAGTACACAAAATGTGTGTTCAACGTATCTTGAATAGAGGAGGGGTGGGGAGCAAGTGAGTGAGTGTGTTTAGTTTTACGCCGCACTCAGCAATATTCCAGCTATATGGCGGCGGTCTGTAAATAATCGAGTCTGGACCAGACAATCCAGTGATCAACAGCATGAGCATCGATCTGCGCAATTGGGAACCGATGACAAGTGTCAGCCAAGTCAGCGAGCCTGACCATCCGGTCCCGGGGAGCAAGAGAGGCTTAATTTACTAAGACAAAATATATCGTGATTGTCTAACGTTACAATGTAAACAATAAAAAATATTTTGAGTTTTTTCCCAGTAGGAATGAACATTGTTCATTCCAACGTCAAGGTTGTTCTTTTTAAATACACCGTATATACACTTCTTAATCTAAAAGGCAAATCAATTGTATTAAACCCGGCTATTTTCATGTAAAATTTCAACAGCTGAACAAAAAGTAATTAATTGTTTTTCTGTGGCTTTGTTACGTTTTTAATACTCTCCATGGTACTCTACAAACGCTGAAGTTCTATCTGGATTCTTTTTCATAAAAAGAAAATGGAAAAAAACACGTCGGATTCAAGATTCAATCGCGGAGCCGGAACGTTTTCAACAACCTTACCGTGTGAACAACAACTAGGATTTGTGTATGAATGAGTGAGTGAGTTTTGTTTTACGCCGCAATCAGCAATATTCCAGCTACATGGCGGCGGTCTGTAAATAATCGGCTCTGAACCAGACAATCCAGTGATCAACAGCATGAGCATCGATCAATTGGCATACGATGACACGTGTCAACCAAGTCAGCGAGCCTGACCACCCGATCCCGTTAGTCGCCTCTTACGACAAGCATGGATTACTGAAGATTCATTCTAACCCGGATCTTCATGGGCCCCTATTTGTGTGATTTTAAGTGGTCAATTTGTGCATAAACCCAGTTTGGCGTGACATTAATCAGTTTTATCGTGAGAGCTTGAGTCTCAATCCAAAAGTGTGAGAGTTGGCAGGTATGCGCAGTAACGTATGCTTGACGATTTAAAGAGGGTTTAGTCTTCTTTCACGATAAACATCTCTCTTTCTGTCTGTCTGCTTCTATTGCAAGTTGACGTCACTGATGTACATACTCTTTGCTACTCTCGGACACGTATTCGCTGGACTCGGAGTAATCTTCAGCACCTCCATGGACAAGTAGCCCCTGCATGGCTCTTCCTTCTTAACGCTTGGTCGCCGCGTTGTGACGTCTTCATATATGTGGGCGTCATCATAGTCAGGATTGCCACAACTTGTACTCGCACGAGAAAATCTGTTTTTCCAACTTTTCTTCTTTTTCTCGCTTTTCCCATTTCCCCTGGGATTGTAATTGACATATTCGTTCGCGACGGAGGACCTGCCCTCGCCGGCGGTTGTATCAGTGTTGTGTTGGCAACACCAACTGCTTGTACATAGCCTGGAGAAAACAATTGTTACGTAAAATATTTATAGTGGTTTGTTGTTTAACGCCGCACTCAGCAATATTCCAGCTATATGACAGCGGTCTGGAAATAATCCAGACTGGACAAGACAATCCAGTGATCAACATCATCGTTCTACGCAATAGGGATACGATGACATGTGTCAAGTTACTGTCAACCAAGTCAGCGAGCCTGACCACCCGATCCCGTAAGTCGCCTCTTACGACAAGCATGGATTACTGAAGACCAATTCTAACCCGGATCTTCGCGGGTCTGTTACGTAAAACATAACAAGCACAACATAAATAGAGATAACACATTAATACGTGTCATATAAAATACAACCGATGTGAAATACTTACCACGCAATAATACACAACTCTTAATCGTCTCAGTGACACATCTACCCGTGAAGGTCCGGGTTCGACTGAACCCCTGCTTGTCGTAATAGGCGACTAACGGGATCGGGTGGTCAGGCCTGCTGACTTGGTTGACACATGTCATCGGTTCCCAGTTGCGCAGATCGATGCTCATGCTGTTGATCACTGGATTGTCTGGTCCAGACTCGATTATTTACAGACCGCCGCCATGTAGCATGAAAACTCACGCACTCGGTGGGGTAGCCTAATGGTTAAGCGTTGGGTCGTCACGACGAAGACCCGGGTTCGATTCCCCACATGGGCACAATGTGTGAAGCCCATTTCTGGTGTAACCCTACGTCACATTGCTGGAATATTGCTAAAAGCGGCGTAAAACCATACTCACTCACTCACTCACTCAGTGACACACGACTATTATCGGTAAAATATTCTCAAAGAATTAACATAAAGTTTTGATTTTGACCTTTTGTCACTAATTGTATTTGAACAAAATATATAAATTTATAATGAAAAAATGAATACGAAATACTGAAAGTATTCAGTGAAATATTATACTATCGTCGAAATTATTTCACTGAATAATTGGTAGAATACACAATGTCATTTCAAAAGTGGTCACATACACTTGTTATAAGTGATTAAACTTTCTCGGTAAAATACCGTTGCTAGTAATTTTGTTAGGGTGAGTTCCATCCGGGAGTCGAACCCACACTCTCAGTGATAAACCTAATCGCCAGCTCGCAAAGTCAGCAATCTAACCCACCCAGCCACTGAAACTCCCACAAAATGGAAATGGGACAACTGGTAGTCAAGATAACTCCTTGTGTACGGATTGGCACTGCTCCCACGGCCGAAAAATATGAAAACACAATGACATTTAAAAGTGGTCAAATGTAACATGTAACATGTATGTACAAATATAGCATACACATGTTGTGCTATATACTATGTGTGGTAGGTCACGTACTTCGTGTACACCTCTGACATTGTGAATTCAAAACTTTTGCACTTTTATTTTCCATAAATGTTTCGAAATGGCATTGTGTATTCATTGTTGAAACAGTCAGATATTATCCACGCAAAATCCGCAGCTTTCTTGAAGGTGCTAAGTTTGCTATTTGTCCGTCGCATGAAGTAGTCATACCGATGTGAATTATACAACTCTTGCGCAATAGGCGTGTCAAGCCACCCACAAGTCCTATCTAACAATCATCTTACAATTAACTAAAAAGTTCAGGCCCACTTGCACAAAGTGACCTCAGCGCTGCGATAAGTCTACTTTAATGTTTGGCAGTAACGATCGTAGCAACGCTAAGATCGCGTTGTGCAAGAGGGTCATGAAGAGAAACAAAATAGACGTACCCAGCGACGATGATGAGAACCACACCCGTGAGGACGATGACGCTGACAACAACAGCTGCAACGTCGTAGACCTGCGTTTGGTACAACACACATGATTTAGCACAGTAACTGATATGATACTCGCTGCTGAGAAATATTTATACCGGTAATAACATAATAAACGTTCTCATTGCATCGTGATAAAGGGTGGATGAGTGAGCAAACGTTGGTAAAGGACAGGGGAGTATAACGGCTCCTTGAAGTAGCCAACTTGTGATTAACAGCATGAACATCTAACACATCATTGACCTTCAATGATGAGTATGACTGGAATGAAATTTCAGTCGACAATTTTAGTCGAATATGGAGTGAGTGAGTTAACATTTTAAGTTATATCGACAGTATTTCAGCAGAATTGTCACTATTGTGTCATATATATCACAGGTCATAAGGGTAATGGGGCGGTAGGGTAGCCTAATGGTCAAAGCGTCCGCTCGTCACACTGAAGTCCTGGGTTCGATTCTCCACATGGAAACAATGTGTGAACCCCATTTCTTGGGTCCTCCCCCCCCCCCCGTGATATTGCTGGAATATTGCTAAAAGCGGCGTAAAACGAAACTCCCTCACTCATTCCACATAGCATTTGACGAGGTTTTGCAACTACATCGAAACGTTGTTAAATGCATATACTAGTTATGCGCTTTGTTATTTACTCACAAACTTAATTTGTAGTATTTGTAATATGTTGCATACACATACCACAACGCCCTCATAATTGCACGTCAAAGAACAAATTGGGGGTCCATGGAGGAATGACTGTGGTCATAAGCACTTGCATGAATGTCCCTTCAGCGTGACCAGTCCAGCTGACCTCCAAGAACGACACACCCGTGATGATCGTGGTGAGAGTTAGCAACTATGAGGCGAATAACGGGATCGGATGAGATACATATCATCGTATCTAAATTGTGTACATCGATCTTCATGATGTCAGTCACGTGATTGTCTGGTCCAGAATGGAGTATTTATGGACCACTGTCTTATATCTGGTATATTGTTGAGTAGTGTGTGTGAGTGAGTGAGGTTAGTTTTACGCCACTTTTAGCAATATTCCAGCAATATCACTATGGGGGACACCAGAAATGGGCTTCACACAGTATACCTATGTAGGGAATCGAACCCGGGTCTTCGGCGTGACGAGAGAACGCTTTAACCACTAAGGCTACCCCCCACCGCCCCTGTGGAGCAAGACTGACTGACTGACTGACTGAGTTTAGTTTTACGCCGCCTTTAGCAATATTCTAGCAATATCACGGCGGGGGACACCAGAAATGGGCTTCACACATTGTGCCCATGTGGGGAATCGAACCCGGGTCTTCGGCGTGACGAGCCAACGCTTTAACCACTAGGCTACCCCACCGCCCCCTGTGGAGCAAGAAAGAAAGACAGGAAGAAAGCATGACCAGTTCATGTAGATAGTTCATATCTACAGATAGCGGAAACCAGTTTCAAAACTGTACTTCGATCACAATGTGTTAATTTCCCTGTCTATAAAACCGAAAGGACGGCCAGATTGTTTCAAGGTGACATCAAGACGCTTTAATTGTAGTTCCCTATTTGAAATTAGATTCTGTTATCTCTGTGTAAATAGGGTTACAAGGTACGTATAGACAAACCAGGACCATAAAACCGGGTTAGAAGACAATAAAGTGTTAGTTTCATTACTTGATGCAAATGTGCCAGGTCAAGAACCATTGGCAACCATTGCAAAGTGACTCTAGGTATCTATATATCGGCTATATACTAAGTAAAGATTAATGTATACCATTTGTCGAGCTTGACCTGTGATTTATGACGGCAAGTCGGCTCTACGTTTACCTCGGTCCGCATATGTCACTTTTTGCTATCATATGGGATAATCGCAACTGAAATATATGTACTTACTTCTTGATTTTGTTACTGGTTTAAAGAGTAGCAATATTCGAGCGGGGCACACCAGAAATGGGCTTCACACATTGTACCCATGTGGGGAATCGAACCCCGGTCTTCGGCTTGATGAGCGAACGCTTTAACTGCTAGGCTACCCCATCGCCCCATTGATTTAAAGAACTGCCATGTATCAACTTGTTGCCTTTTGATCAATCCGTAATGTTCACGTACTTTATAGTTACCTGGTGACTTCCTGTCTTTTGAAAGGCAGTGGGGTAGCCTAGTGGTTTAAGCGTTAGCTCGTCACGCCGAAGACCCGGGTTCGATTCCCACATGGGTACAATGTGTGTCCCCGCCGTTATCTTGCTGGAATAGCGCTTAAAGCGGCGCAAAAACTCACTCACTCACCCCCACCCACTCACTCACTCACTCACTCATTGTAGACCGCCTCCGTGGTGTAGTGGTTAGAGCGTCCGCCCGGAGAGAGGAAGGTCGCAGGTTCGATCCCCGACCGCGTCATACCAAAAGACCTTAAAATATGGTACGTGTTGGTCCCTGTCTGGCGCTCGGCATTAATGGGTACAACAAGGACTGGTCGGCTCGGAGTCAGTATAATGTGTCTGAGTGGGGTATTCATGCTTCACTGCGGCATGGTATCTCAGTGGGCTAGCACTATAAAACCAGCTTCAGTCTGGGCTAGTACAAGCAGCCGCACATACACATACACACGCATGCACGTCGTCATATGAGCGAAATAGTCTCAAGCACGACGTTATACCCCTATTCCACCTCACCTCACCTCACTCATTGTCTTGGTGAAACAAATTGCCACCAAGCCATTGTAGCGGACGCAAATATCCGTGCAGCCAGTGAGACCGCGGGCTTGACGTAGATGTACGACTTCAGGGAATGAAAAGGCAAAACGGAGGGATTGTTTCTGTTTCTCTCACGCAAATGTTCCATCATCTGTGAGATATGAGATATCCCCGTGGGATTTGAGTTGATAGTCTCCAATTACCCATTCTTATCACAGTGTGTGATATCCTAGCCTTTGGATCTTTGCTCATGATGTCACCCCTGGCTGACCCTGGTTTGTTCATTAACTGACAGCCGTGTTATAACTTTGTTTGTTTGTTTATTCGTTTGTTTGTTTAATGCCGCACCCTGCAATATTCCCGCAACATGATGATCCCGTAAACATTTTGCTTGGCCAGACGATCCAGTGATTGACAACATACGCATCGATCTACGCAAATGGGAATCAATGACATGTGTCAAATCAAGTCAGCGAGCCTGACAGCCCGATCCCGTTAGTCGCCTCTTACGACAAACATGCAAGTCAAAACATTGATCAGCGCATTGAACATTCATAAGTGTGTGGACATTTGCGCTTTATAAGTGACATTATTATTATTATTATTATTATTATTATTACACAACAGTCTCGTTTCCTGTTGACTGGGTCCCGTCCTATTGCGCAACTTAGTACAATAACCAGTCCAGAATTTTAGGACCAATTCATTTAACTGGATGCATAATTATTAATCAGTATTATTTGTTCATCTATGCACTTGTATATTGCAACACTACGTTCCTTCTAATCCTTGCAAACATGTCGTGCAGCGTGCTCTGTCGTACAGCGAGCTCTGACAAACGGAAACCTGGAAATCGTGGAGATCTCAAAACGAGGCTCGGCCGCTAGAAAGGTTTGGCGGTCTGGTACGGACTTGATATTATATCAATCACATTGTGCGTTACAGAACTACACTGAATAAGCGCAAACAATACATAACAGGTGTAACCAATGAGCTAGATGCATTGTGAATCATTTTACGACCTCATCAAACAGGGCAGTCTGTGACGTCTTAGTTAAGGTCATGCGGCCTACACCTCGCCATAAAATATAGAAATACGATGTTATTAAAGTTTTAAATTAAACTTCATTTGTAAGTACCATTTTATTATGAAACAAGGAATTGGAATTCAATGTAACCATAGTTGTTTGTGATGTCTATTTTCACTTTCACACGATACAATTCGGATCGGCTGAAAAGTAGGTCATTGTCTGAATAGGTTAATGTGACTCATGTTTCGGTTTGTTTGTTGAAGACCAATTCGAAAAAGGATCTTCACGGGTTCCAGAATTATAATCATGCACAATCTGTGCCCCAGGAAATGTGATGCGGGAAAATAGCATTTCCATTTAATAATGATAATACAATCCCGGTAGTTGCCTCTCAATATTGTACACACCTAAATCAGTAGTAAGTATCCACATGATACTCAATAAAAATGGTTGAAATATATTGTGTATGGTACGTATGCTATTTGATAATTTAATTCAATGTACATGTATTTTGTAAAAAAAAAATTTTATATTTTACTGCTATCATAGTCGCGTATCCTGTGTTGTATTTTTCGTAATGAATACGATAAAATCGTATGGGTTGGCATCTCTGCATTTGTTCTCATACATCTTTTCACGAAACAACCAACTATCGTCATGTGCAGTTAGGTATATCCTGGGAAACAACCCGAAGTTCATGTGTCTCCCCGGCGGTGGGGTAGCCTAGTGGTTAAAGCGTTCGCTCGTCACGCTGAAAACCCGGGTTTGATTCCCCACATGCGTACAATGTGTGAAGCGCCCCCCCCCCAAAAAGTGTTATTGCTGGAATGTTGCTAAAAGCGGCGTACTCACTCACTCTCTCACTAGCATGGGTTGTTCACGGATCCGAGTTATAGTTATAGTTGTACTGCTGACTACAAACTTTGAGGTTTCGCTTTCCTAATATGGTACGTTTCCGGATTTGTTGGCACAAGTACAATAACATACAAACAGACAATCGTATCGATTTTACAGGGAAATTAACATAAAAATCCCATTTGATTTATAACCAACAGTTGGACAAATCAGTAGGTGGTCGGACACTGGCACAGAAAACACATCACGCGGGTTTATTTCAATCTGTGTACAAAATTAGATACACAATGCACAACACTCGTCCTTTAGCGATATATTCCGAAGAGTCTTCAGATAAAATATTTTAATTCGATCCTGTTTCATTTTCAATTTTAAAAGGCCCAACATAGAACTATTTCTTTGTGAAACGGGAAATGTACATGTTCCTTAACAGAAGGAAATAATTTATTTTATTGAAATATAGATTATTGTTAAATGGGTCACTTTAAGTGGTCAGATAGTGTCATGTAATATACTCTCCCAAAAACGAAACGCATATAGGAATTTCAACTGTATTTTTATGTTTATTTTGAAACATCTTGTAAGCTTTATGAGTCAATGAAATATAGCGAAATTGCACACTGGGTATGCAGACTTATCCGTCTTTGGCACCTAACTCGAGGAAAGTCAGTTTGAGTGTCACATGGAGACGCGTGGTGGCGCTGAATTCAATACCTCGTGTGACCACCGTGGGCATCCAGAACTGCACGGCATCGCCTCGGCATCGAACGAATAAGTCTCAGAATCTCGTGTTGCCCAATCGCAGCTCACTCTGCCTGTAGTGCCTGTGAGAGTTGCTGAAGTGTCTGGGGCTGAGGGTTACCGCGTCGCATCCGTCTGTCCAGGGCATCCCACAGTTGTTCGATAGGGTTTAAGTCCGGTGATCTTGAGGGCCAGGGGAGCACATTGATGTTGTGGTTCTGGAGGAAGTCTCTAGTGTGACGTGCTGTGTGGGGCCTGGCATTGTCCTGTTGAAACAACTCCCTCTGGCGATCAATGATTGGAAGGAGATGTGGGCGTAGGATTTCGTCACAGTACCGTTGAGCTGTCAGGTTGCCCTGGATCATCACCAAATCACTTATCCTACGGCAGGTGATCTCATCCCCGACCTAACCGTCGACGTCTGTACACCCGCATTCTTCCATCGCGTCGTTCCAATAGAATTCATCACTGAACCAGATTCTACGCCAATTCGGTAGCTTCCAGGCCTGAACGTTGGTGCACCATTGAACTCGATGTCGACGATGTTGCCGAAGCACAGGGACAAAATAAGGTCTTCTGGCACGTAAACCAGCCTCTCTCAACCTGTTCCTGACGGTCTGTGCAGAAAGCCTCCTCAATCCGGGTATTTGTCGAGCGGTACTGGTCGCCGTAGCTGTTCGATGACGCAGGTGATGTACCCGGATGTAACGATTCTGCGCCGCAGTGGTCGCTCGAGGTCGCCCACTACGAGGGGCATCTGCTACCGCATTCTGCCGGCGATATCTCTCCCAGAGCAGTGACATGGTGCTTTGGTGAACATTCATGCGTCGGGCAACTGCACGTTGAGACTGGCCAGCTTCAAGCAAACCAATGGCGATATGACGGTTGGCTTCACTTAGACGTGCATTTTGCGTTCGTCAACAATATTCCAAATACAGTGAATAATCGACAGACAGCGATCAACCTTTTATACCCATCATTGTGACTATCTGATCCCCAACTTTCACGTGCATTGCATGTGAATTGTGTATTCTGTGACACTACACGCCGTAATTGAAAATCATGCTGTTAAATACGGGTATTTTACGGATGGTGCGTTTTGTTGTGATGTTTCAAAACATAAACACCATAGGACTCATAAACAGAGCAAAACCTTTTGTAAAATGAATCACGTTGTAATTCATTGCTACATGAAATTGCTATTTTCATGATGCGTTTCTTTTAGGAGAGTATATTTGCAATGGCATTAGAAAGACCGGGACGTATATGTATATAGGTAGGTTACAGGAAGTCAGGAGAGTGAGTGAGTGAGTGATGTTTTACACAATATTCCAGCAACGTCATGGCCGGGGACACCTAAAATGGGCTTTACACATTGTCCCCATCATGTGGGGAATGGAACCAGGATCTTCGGCGTGACGAGCGAACGCTTTAACCATTAGGCTACCCACCACCACCACCATCACCAGGTAGATGACATATTGTAAATTTAGTGTAACTTTTTAAAAACATAATTCAGGAGTACGACGACGAATTACGCCCAACAGTGGGAGTAATTCGAGAGGTGAAGCTAGAACTCGACGCTCGTAACGTACATCTTGACCACAGTGTTGACAGACGAAGAAGTTTTGAATCGAACGTGATTGGATGCTGAACGTCTCCGAAGAAAGTACTTTACCTCAAGTTTACGAGATGAATTTATATTCAACTATGTGATATGAAACCGGGCATTAGGTTAAACGGATAGTACAAACAAAAAATACAAGCAATCATGGTTATTGCTCTTATAAATAACAATTTCGGACATAATAAACATGTCATGGATCAGTGATCATTTTCTTTCTACTTATGTTTTTATGGTTTAACGACACACTCAATATTCCTGCTTTATGACGAAAACTTTATATACCAGATAAACAAGTGACTGATATGATTGGCAACGATTTTGCTGAGTGTGGTTTTAAGAACAAACAAAAGATACTGCTCATTGTATTAGCCCCCTCTCCCCTTCCCAAAACTACCAACCTACTTCCCCGTTTGTACACGCGGTGTTGACTTCCGTAGCTTGCTTTCTAATTTCCAGAGCTATAGGGTAGCCTATACTGGTTATAGCTTTCGCCTCAAGACCAGGGTTCGATTCCCCACTTGGATACAAATTATGAAGCCAACTTCTGGTGTCCCCCGCTGTGATATTGATGGAATATTGCTAAAGGCGACGTTAAACCATAATCGGTTACTGATTTCCCGCTTATAATCTATAAGTTTACACATACCATTATGCGTGGATCACCAGACCAAGGATGTTACACCATTCCCGTTCCACTGTATTCCTCGCGACACTCGTGAAGAACACCTTAATAGAAAAGATTGAATGTATCATACATCGATGCAAACGAAAGCAGATTCTTCTGAAAGAACATATGCCGATTAAACATACTAGGGATTTCATGTTTTAATGAGTTTTAATTAAAACAATTTGTAATGCTGTGTAAGAATCAGTTTTACCCTGTTCAAAGTACTACTAGATAGTTCTGATTTAGATTGATATTAAACAAACACAGTAGCCATTGTTAAGGTGGTAAATCATTATTTCGCATTTTCGATTTCCGAAATAAGTGGTGCTCTATATGAAACCTCCATTACGTGTGTTATGCGGACAAATGCTGTGATAAAACAAATATTTATGTTCTCATTTCCATCGACCTACCTTAATACTGGCCAAATTTCTATCTTGCGGCATATCGTGTACAATTACATGTCGACTTCAGCTTTGGTTGTTCTCGTTATGTTCTGCGTCATATTGATGACAACGTAACTTCCGGTTTTTATTTCCTTGGCGCAATCTTGTTTCTGACAGCTTCACTCTGTGCATGTATATGACACAACTATTCGGACCAATCAGCGGAGGGCAAATGACAAGGTTTACCGCTGGTTAAAACATTTTGTGTTGACCAATATGTGGGTTGCAACTTGCAAGTTAGTGACGGATCGACACATGTGTTACCATGGCAACTATACACGTCATACGTAAAGTTTATGATGATTCATTGGCGGATCGGGGGTGGGGGGTTCGACCCCCCCTTTGAAAATGACTTAAGACCACATTGAAGATTTTTTTTTGCGTTGGCGAAACTAATGGGGGGTTCAGAGGGTTCGAACCCCTGACACCCAACACACCCCCACCCCTTTTCAAAATTCCTGGATCCGTCCATGTGATTCATCAAATATACTTAGAAAAATATATACTTAGCGTAGTCTAGACCAATAAATCCTGTGGTCGATATTATCACACATGATCCGCATATTTATTAGTTTGTTGCTTACCCCTGGACTAGGTAACATTTATCTACACAGCTACGGTCTGTACATAATCGAGCCTGGACCAAACAATCCAGTGGTCAACATCATGAGCATCGATCTCCGCAATTGGGATATGATATGATATGTATGTGAGGTGAGGTGAGGTGAGGTGACATTGGATTTAACGTCGTGCTTGAGACTATTTCGCTCATATGACGACGTGCATGCGTGTGTATGTGTATGTGCGGCTGCTTGTACTAGCCCAGACTGAAGCTGGTTTTATAGTGCTTGCCCACTGAGATACCATGCCGCAGTTAAGCATGAATATCCCACTCAGACACATTATACTGACTCCGAGCCGACCAGTCCTTGTTGTACCCATTAATGCCGAACGCCAGGCAGGGACCAACAAGTACCATATTTTAACGTGTTTTGGTATGACGCGGTCGGGGATCGAACCCGCGACCTTCCACTCTCCGGCGGTCTGATATGTATGTATGTGTGTGTGTGTGTGTGTGTGTGTGTGTGTGTGTGTGTGTGTGTGTGTGTGTGTGTGTGTGTGTGTGTGTGTGTGTGTGTGTGTGTGTGTGTGTGTGTGTGTGTGTATGTATGTATGAAAGACAAGCTATCTCTTTCATCCACTGTTGATTGTTTTGTTTTACCTACAGACGATGTAAGCCTATAACACAAATAAACAAATAAATAAATAGTTAAATAAATAAATAAATAGATAAATAAATAAATAAGATTTATTTTCGGATATTGATGATTTTTTTCAGATATTTATATAAAATATAAGATATAAGATTGTATCCTCTTAGATCTCGATTCTGTGTCATATCATTTATTTTTCACCACCAGGAAATTGACAGTTAACATTTCTGCTGTTGTGTGTTTTCATTTCCTGAAAGGCGAAATTCGTGCACATTCGAGTCATTCCGTGATGAAACGCGGAAACATACGAGTAATGCCGAAACATTTTTAATGCAGCTTTGTAAATTAGTATATTTTTCTGATATTATTGCTCTTATAAGAAAAATATGTGCTACAATATCACTATGTCAAACATGGTCTGGTTATATTTTTATAAATACCTTTTTGTTGACATATTTTATGCAGATGCCTAATTTTGTGCGGAGCTGTGTCATGGTCGCCCACACGTGAATGGAAGAGAATCTGCAGCGATGAATTTACAACGTCTTCGTTTACCGCATTTAAAATTATTGTTAGAATGTTCAAGGTACGCGTAACATAATTTGCTTCTTGCACGCTTGACTTCGTTTTCTTGTTGTTGTCACAGTTTTCCAGACACTTTAGCATCACGCACGTTTGACATTGAACATTTAACCAGGTAAACAGTGAACTTTTGAAAAAGTGTGTGCAGAGATCTATTATGTGGTCTCTGGTGTGTGTAAGTCACAACGACCATGCAGTCATAATTATTTTAGTCAAATGGGGAAAATGTTTCTGAATGTAAGCCGTATTCCTGCGCTGTTAGTATGCTTCACGTGACTGTTGTGTAACTGTCTGTCATAAACGCTTCATGTTAACAACTGACTGACTGATAAACTCAGTAGGTGTTTGTCCGATGTATTTGACATTGCTCAATTTGCGGTGCTGATCAACCACCAACAGTCAAACCAGCATGACCAATCAATTTACTAGATTGTTGTGAAAAAACAGTAGAGCGAGGATGAGAAATATACTCCTCATTATCATGCCATATGAAATTATGACATATTTAACAGGGCTCCAGATTAGGGCCGTATCGGCGTATGTACGGATATAAAATGTGCACAATACGGTAGGAAATAATTTTAAAAACGTAGCACATACGCACTACGGCAGTGGTGTATGGTCTTAGAATCATTTACAGACGTATTTATATGAAAAGTATTGTTTTATTGTTTATTGACCTGTTTACACAAGAGTAGCAATGCTGTTGTGCATATATGACACGAAACACAAGATTACTGGTACTCCATTAAATATCATTAAGTACTCTTAATGTACTCTTAAGAATTTCCAGTACTCCTGCATTGAAAAAGTAAGGAGTACGCACTCCTGATGTTGAAAATTTATCTGGAGCCCTGATATTACAAGTAATATTTCAGAATTTCTTCAGTGAGCCCTTACCAAGTGGTAGAATGTAACAGTGTCACTTCTAGCTTAAGCTCGCACGAAAAACAACATTTGTTCAGTCCTACAATATCCACCTCAGCTCTTTGCACAAACATTACTCCATACAAAAGTTAAAGTCTGATATTTGTGTGAATGTCCCTAATATTTGCCTAAAGCAACACAAATCATGGTTTGGCATGCTGGAAACCTCTGAGTTTGGTTTTGATTCTGGTTTGCGTAGATTATAATTATTGGTTTGTCAGCACCATACCCAGCTAGTGTTAAATGCTATCAGGATTTTCTCCAATATCTGTGCCATTATATAACTCAGATAAAGTTCAGATTGGTCATTATCCTAACTAATTTCCAGTATGGATGCCTCAGTAAAATAAATAACTTCAGCCACGTGAGCCAATGTCTCCTGTATATAATTCCTTTCCATGGGATCTATTGACACTGAAAATTAGGACATGGTGCCATCAGGACTCGCATGTTGATTGTGTAAAATAATGGCCTACCTAGTATCCAGTGTCTTCTTTCTCTTTCCATTTACATCTCCAAACATATCGAGCGATCAAGATGGGGTATCCTAATTGTTGAAGCATCCACTTGTCATGCTTAAGACCCAGGTTTGATTACCCACTGGGGTACGATGTGTGAAGCCAATTTCTGGAGTAAAACCAAACTCAGTCTAGACCATGTTTGTCAACTCCAACCAAGGGGGACAACTCTAAATGAGATTTGCTGTTACACTCTTGCCACAATACCGCTCAACATTTTGCAAGCACTTGCTGCCACAATCAGTATCAACAATCTTTTCTTCTACATTAGAGTATGGATAGTGACATGATGCTGTACACTGTGGTCTCTCAAGTAGATAAGTTTTCATGGGCATATTGTCAATTGTCAATAGTACATCTAGGTCAGCTATAATATTCCTTCATTACCATGTTATTCAACTGCTTGTAAGAGTTTCGTCTTTTATTTGATATCATTCTATACTGTTGACCACACATGCAGGTGATCCGGGTTAGAATTGGTCTTCAGTAACTCATGCTTGTCATAGAGGCAACTAACGGGATCGGGTGGTCAGGCTTGCTGGCTTAGTTGTTGCATGTCAGCGTAACATGTGGATACATGCTCATGATCACTGGATTGCTTAATTATGTAGCAAAACTTGCACCTACTGTATCGTTTCATTACTTTATTTAGTAAATAGTAATTAAATACCAGCACCTTGAGTATGCACTAGTTGCCTGGATATGTAATTTGTAGTAATCAGTAATAGTAATTTGTTGTACCTACTGACCAGAATTAAATTAAAATCCCAAAGAATGAAAGAGTATTTTGTCTTATAGACACTCATATAATTGGACACACCAAAATTCTTCTCAAATTGCAGTCTTCAAAGTTCCTGGTTGTTCTCATGATAGTTTGCTATGTGTTTTCAGACAATGGATGACCAATTTTCCGTCAAGTGTTGCCGTTGGGGAGAGACTAGGGGCATATCGGCACTTCTCCTGCACACATCAACTCTCTAGGAAGAAGAAGTTTCCATCAGAGGTGGACACAGACATCAGGTGACACAATACACTTAGTGATACATACACCTGTTGGTGACTGCGTAGATTGATGCTCATGTGGTTGATCACTGGATTGTCTGGTCCAGACTAAAATATTTTCAGATCGCCGCCATATAGATGGAATATTGCTGAGTTTGGCGTTAAACAACAAACCAAACCGAACCAAAACCTTATTGATTGCCTGTGCAAACCTGCATCACACTGTATATGCTTTATTCAAGTTCATGTATTGTGATCTGGCAACATGATTCACTACCTAAGACAATTTTACCTGTTGTTGTCAAATACATGGAATAAATTAGGGGTGACTATTGAGGGGCAAACAACTATTGCGACCAACAATTGCAATACTATTGCAATAGTTTTTTTCTCTTTGAAATGAATTGTCTAATTTGAAGTCATTTCCCAAATGAATGCATAGCTTATGTGAAATGAAAACAAGTTGAAGTAGTTTCAATCTCTTTCAATAACTGACAAGACACTTGAAACCCAGATCAAGTAAACAGTTAAAACATTAACTCAATGAAGCTGCAAGTCTGCACTAAAACTTCCTGTATTTTGCGCTGCACATTTATCAACGGAAGTCAATTACTAAACTATCGATAGTCACACATACTATTGATGCATTGATAGTTTTTCCTTTCTACCATCGATTAATTGCTATCTGAGACTCAACAATTGCAATCCTTAAATGGTTCAATGTGTCGTTACAGCCCTGGTAAAAATACTTTTATTTCAGATTATGTAACAATATATTTTCTTGTCAAACAAACTCTGAAGACCCCGGGTTCATTTCCCATCTTGGGTACAATGTGTGAAGCCCATTTCAGGTGTCCCCCATCGTGATATTGCTGGAATATTTCTGAAACTGGCATAAAACCATACTCACTCACTTGTCCTCAAAGGATAAGAAAATAGTACATGTGTACAGATGCAAGATCTTTACCATTACCGTGACTGCAGGGAGACAGATGGAGTGGACAGTTCCCTGAAGGAAGCCGCCAAGAGTGCAGCCAGTTCTCTGCCAGGCGATGCCAAACAAACCGAATCTGACCTCCTCCAACAACTGCACAACCAGGCCAAACTGTCACAGGCTCAAAGAGAAGGAAGGGAGGCAACTCCAGGAGGGTCTCCTCAGCCAAGGTAATTTTGTCTTATAATCCTAATTAGTTTACTGTCATATTTGCATGCATTTTGAAACTTAATAAAATGCACACCATCTCCTTATACTTAGTGAATTTATAACATGATTGTAACATCTAGACTGCATTATAGATTGCCAACGTGTATCATATTTCACACACACGCCCTGAGTGCGACCTAGTGTATGTTGTCTGTCTCATTACACTTCACGGCAAAACAAAATTGATTCTGTTGAATGTCATAACAAATAGATTCAAACAAAATGCAAATATTAAAATTAAAACAGAGTGAAGTTATAGCAACAACATCAGGCTATTACCTTGTTCGGGGAATGTATCCATCAATATCCACATAAAGGAATGAGATGCCATTCATCTGCAGCTGACAAAGTATCCCGTTCCATGTCATGTGTCTTTTAACAGTCTAATATGCGAAAAAGTGATCTATCGTTTCAGGTTTTTCACATTGGTATATCCCATTGGTCACCCAAGATAGCACACCTGGCAACTAATTGCATGATGATCGCCATTCTTTAAAAAAGTAATTTAGTTAGCCAATAATGAGCAATCAATCAATGTATTGGCGGTTAATCCTTTGAAGGAAGGGCGTTGTTTTTACACAGGCACTTTACGACAGGGTGTATTCAGTATAGAATAGTAAATCTACATACATAAACACTACTTTTTGACAAATCCGCTGTGCAGGATAAAAGCAATTAATCAATCAGCGTGTTATCGGTTAATCGTTTGATCGATATTTGTTTTGTAACTCAGCTGATAATTCCTCTTACTGCACTTCCATGCGCATATTACCTAAGAAGTAATACATTTGCCACATCAGACCTCAATGTATAATGATGAGTATTTACTCCAGACACAAGAAATGCCAAATGGGAACCTTTGTCGGGTAATCTGAGTGGTGTTATCACTAATTATACCTGTTATAAATTCATTAACTAACCATCAAGTGAATGATGACAAATAACATGTGTAGGTTTACCACCAAACAAGCAAGAGAGTAGTAATCGCTGTGTTGCATGCAAGTTTCATTGCCTGAAAAAAACACCTTATGGGCCGACACTGTTTTGAGGATACGAACGGAACTTCATTGTTACATTTGAAATATATAAGCATTTGCTGTGTACTTAGTTGAAAACTGTATATACCAATGTACCTAAGTAAAATTTCAGATTTATTTTGCAATGGCAAAGTGGGGTTGTTTAGTTTATGGATTCGTTTGAGGAAAAACTTCTCTGACAAAGGGTATTCATGTTGTATGCCAATCTGAAGAAGTGCGTTTTCACTTATTGCAAAACCATCATGCTTGTCAACATGGGAATGATAATTCTAACCAAATTTGATTTCACTAAGTATGGTGGCCACAAGGCTTCTGCCTTGTTGAGCTGGGCAAGCCTACCACTTGTGTTAGCTTCAATCACAGACATGGTTTGTCAGTTCCCTGAAGAAAAATCCATGTCCAATCCAAATGGCCTCATATCTGTGCATCAGCCCACCCAGAGTCATTCTATTTGTGTGTGACCCGTGAAGTTTCGGATCAGCATTGCTCTTCAGCAACCCATTCTTGTCTTGAGGCAACTAACGGAATCCGGTGGTCAGACTCACTGACTTGGTTGACACACATCATCATATCCCAGTTATGTACAGGGGTGGAAATAACCCATTGCCCGACGTCCGAGTCCAGTGTTTTTTTTCTGTCGGGCAAGCAAATTTGTATATCACGCTGTACCGGTGCCCAGTTGACTTTCCAATGTTAATAATGTTGTTAATTTAAAAAAGCAACAAGAAAACGGCCGGTATAGTGGAAAAATGATCAGGGCAAGTGATTTTACATGTGCCACTGTACCGGAGTACACTAGCAATTTTAAAGTTATTTCCACCCCTGATGTAGATTCAATGCTTATGATGTTGGTCACTGGCTTGTCTGGTCCAGATTGTATTATTTACATGATATTCATTCCGCCATATAGCTGGAATATTGGTAAGTGTGGTGTTAACCAACCAACCATTTGTGTGTCCGATGATCAGTATCCTGGTAGGGAGTGTTCAGCAACTAAACAACCAACCATTTGTGTGTCCGATGATCAGTTTCCTGGTAGGGAAGTGTTCAGCAACTAAACAACCAACCATTTGTGTGTCCGATGATCTGTATCCTGGTAGGGAGTGTTCAGCAACTAAACAACCAACCATTTGTGTGTCCGATGATCAGTTTCCTGGTAGGGAGTGTTCAGCAACTAAACAACCAACCATTTGTGTGTCCGATGATCAGTTTCCTGGTAGGGAAGTGTTCAGCAACTAAACAGTAGTAAGGAGATGTTGTGAATGTATAAACCAGCAGTTTCTTTGTTTTCTAGGCAAAAGTCCCATGGTGGTCAGAGACAGGAGTCTGCATCTAAAACAGGTGAGTGTATCTGATGATGAGGGCTGCAATGAATACACTACGAGTATGAGACAAATACGATATGTTTTACAAATAAATTGTAAAAATTACGAATATTCATTTAAGAAATACAGTTCGCTCTACCACCATGTATAGTGTAATAAAGCACACTTTCGCCCTGAACTATTATAACGTTAGTGCTTTAATGTTATAATAGTTCAGGGCGAAAGTGTGCTTTACTACACTATACATGGTGGTAGAGCGAACTGTATTTCTTTTCTAAGATGCCAAATTTAATACTTTCTGAGGATAAGTACGATATATTTAAGGCAGAAAACAAACGACGGTGTCGGTGAACTAAATTAAGAATCCTCACACAGGGCTAACTGACGCGCTGTTCTATTGATGTGTCTGCCCCCCCTACGTTAAGACGAAAGTTACCAGAAAAAAACCAGATGATAACAGTTTGATGACGGTTTACGTTTGGATTAAATATATTCTCTAAATTATTTTAATTTCATCTGTGATTAACGTAAACCATATGGGGCAATATGAACGTCACATTTCTACTTCCAACGTAAGTTTAGATCAGTACATCCAGATGAAGCTGAGTTGTCAAGCGACATTCCACGATTGCATTGTGGTAATGTAAACATTGCAAACGTTACCGTGTCGCTGAAACCTTGTGAGTCGAATTGAGAAATTTTAACCGTCGTAAAACATAAACGTAACGTTTCCACCTGTGATGTTAGCTGCGTGAAGCAACTGCAAACCAAGAAACAGACAGAATGCAACGGAGTAGTTTATTGTAGGAGGCCGTACGAGTCGATGACAACTGACATGCATCATGACGTCGCTTACATTGTGACGTAATGCAAAATGGTTCGATTACGAGGGGGCAGACTAGAATGGCGCAGTGATGCCAATACATTGTGACGTACTGCAAAAATGCACATTTTTTTTATCGTCTGATAAAGTACTGTTGGCTCCTTTGATCTTTCACCGAAGCATCTTAGAATCCTGAATACTTTATGGTTATCTAGGAAATAAAATATCCAACATATCACTTAATTGTTGAAACCTTTAAATATTTTCTAGTTTTAAAAGTTGAAACATTTAAATGATATTTTCTATTTTTAAAAAAGCAATACTTTGCGAACCATGCAGCTTATAGTCTAATGACGCTGCCGAGAGGGGCCCACTTCAAAATAACACAAGTTGCTTTTCTACATGGCTTTGATATATTCCATTTGGGGTATCTCAATAAAATAGACAACAAACCAGTTCTAATAAAATACACTCTCTTTAACAAATTTGAAAATATTCAATTCTAGTGACCACGAATAATGAATTGAATTCATGATGGAATACGTTTCGGTTCACCGAATACATGAGAACCGTGACAAGTCTACTGATGACTAGGTTCAAGTTTTGCCAGCCTGTGTACAGTTTTGCATACCTGAGTTCATCGGTTTCCACAAAGCATCAATACGAGGGCTGGGACTGGTCTAAATTTTCTACCTGGGTACCCCACCCCGTATTGCCCTGCCCTGCTCTGCCCTGCCCTGCCCTGCCCTGCCCTGATACCCCTTATGTTAATTTCTGACATCAAATTTGTAAGAAAGGGCAATGTATTCTTCACCTCAGAGGCTAAAATTTCGTGTTTTTCAATATCTTTACCATGTATTATATTCAAAACAGGTGACTGTAAATTATGTCTAAATCTTCAAATCTTCAATAACCCATGCTTGTCGTAAGAGGCAACTAACGGCATCGGGTGGTCAGGCTCGCTGGCTTGGTTGACACATATCATCCTATCCCAACTGCGTAGATCGATGGTCATGATGTCAATCACTAGACTGTTTCAGACCGCAGCCATATAGCTGGAATATTGCTGAGGGCGGCGTAAAACTAAACTCACTCACTCACTCAAAGACAATGCAACCTTTAAATCATGAAGGAATAACATATTACATTGTTTAATCTATTAGTCACATGATCATAACGGGTCCGGGTATTGAGACGGGTACCCAGGTCCAACTCATTACCCACCCGTTACGGGTATCCAGATTACCCGTCCCGGCCCTAGTCTGTACCCATGTGGAGGTGAAATGACTGAAATACTAACACCCACCCACACTCAATTAATCATGTTGTGAGACAATATTTACTCAAAAGTATCTTGTTTGTGTTGCCAAATTATATCACATCTATCATTTGGGTATGGGTGAGTGATCGAGTGAGTTTAGTTTTAAGCCGCAATCAGCAATATTCTAGCTATATGATGGCGTGTTGTAAATAATTGAGTCAGGACCAGACACTCGAGTGATCAACAGCATGAGCATCGATCTGCTCAATTGGGAACAGATGACATGTGTCAACCAAGCCAGCAAGCCTGACCACCTGATCCCGTTATTCGCCTCTTACAACAAGCATTGGTTATTGAAGATCAATTCTAATCCGGACCTTCACGGGTCCAATTGGGTATGAAAATGGAGAGGGGATACAAATTTGAACTTTATTTACGAACTTGTCTCTTATTGAAGGGAAGGGAGTCAAGCAAATTGTTGCATGTGATGGTGTCATCCCATAATAGTTGTGTAGATTGATGTTAGAAGCGACTAACTCGCTGACTCGCTGACTTGGTTGACACATGTTATCGTATCCCAGTTGCATAGATTGATCGTCATGATATTGATCACTGGATTGTCTGGTCCAGACTTGATTATTTACAGACTGGATTGCTTACGCCGCCATATGGCTGGAATATTGCAGAGTGCAGCCTTAAAGAACAAACAAACTATTGTACCCTTTCCTCTGCTCTTAGGAAATAAACAACACCTCTGTGGCTTAGTTGAAAGAGTGTCTGCCCAGAGAGCAAACATCAGTGGTTAGATCCCAGTGGACCCAGTCTAAGTTAACTGAGGCTCAGCATTATTCGTTACACTGCTATACTGAGTCTAACAAAACCTTGTGGAAGGTCGCCTCAGGTAACCTTTTCAATTGACCAATCAGAACACAGCTTACCAAATCGCGAAGGTTGACATTCGCACATACCTTTTGAACTTTTACCTCGAAAAGGTTTTGTACCCGAACGATTCCGAATCCTATTTTCCGTACGATCGCTTACGAGTGATGCACATGGAGCACGCCACAACCATCACTAAACAGTCGCTGGTTTTCATTTGTTGTGAGATCAGTGTTGGCGACCGGGGAAGAGTAAATCCATTTTGTAAGTCCCGCCGAAACCCTAAATAGTAGCCATTGTCTGATTGGTTAAATCCGTTCTGTCGTCTCGCGTTTGATTGGACGGTCATAGGTTGCTCAAAGGTTACCTAACGCGACCTTCCTCAAGGTTTAGTTAGACTCAATATAGCAGTGTAACGAATAATACTGAGCCTAAGTTTACTTGGACTGCAATGGACCGACATCAGGAGATGGTACTTGTTGGTGCCCTGCCTGGTGCTCATTGTAATTGTAAGCCACAGAGGTTGGCATGAAGAGCGAGTGCTGTATCCATGCTTAACTAGTGCATGGAATGTACTAGGATCAGTACTAGGGCTGCGCAATATAACCGGTTTACCAGTATTTACCGGTTTAGACATGAACACGATACGTATTTTGATATGCTGACCGAAAACCGGTATTTTGACATGCATTCGGAAAACTTCGTAACACTCGGAAATCTTCAGATATTTCCGTATTTTAAATCGTTCCTTTCCTTGTTTCATTTGTGCTAAACATTATTTACATTTATACTTTGTCATCATTAAAAGTTTTTATCGAAGCCTAGTCAAGCATAGTGATTTTGTTGTCTTTTTGCTTTATAAATCAAGCATTAACTCGATTATAAGTAATTTTTGTTAAAAAAACCCATCTTGCCAAATATTGCAATACATATCGCAATATAGGCTTTCGAATCGCTGTATATCGCAATATGAAAATTCTCTGCAATGCCCACCCCAAATCAGCACCATAAAACCAGTATTAATCAGGACCAGTACACTTAAGTACAGAGGCAGAGGGATAGCCTTGTGGTGGAGGTGCTCATTTGTCATGTCGAAGCCCTGGGTTTGATTCCCTACATTGCTGCAATGTGTGTTGCCCATTTCTGGTGTTCCTGGCCATGATATAGGTGGAATAATCTAAATGATTGCCCACATGGGTACAATGTGTGAAGCCCATTTCTAGTGTCCCTTGCCGTGATATTGCTGGAATATTGCTAAATTCACTCACTCACTCACTCTACTCACAAAATACATGAGTACAAGCAGTCACACTTATACTCACACTTATGTACTTGTACTTTGGTATGTAAATGTTATAATCTTAAAACAGACATTAATTCCCATATTACCATACCTCTTCTGATCTGAGACCCGTGAAGATCCGGGGTAGAATAGGTCTTCAGCAACCCATTCTTGTCATAAAAAGCGACTATGCTTGTCGTAAAAGGTGACTAATGGGATCGGGTGGTCAGGCTCGCTGACTTGGTTGACACATGTCATCGGTTCCCAATTGCGCAGATCGGTGCTCATGCTGTTGATCACTGGGGTGTCTGGTCCAGACTCGATTATTTACAGACCGCCGCCATATAGCTGGAATATTGCTGAGTGCGCCGTAAAACTAAACTCACTCACTCACTCTTCTGATCTGATGGTCTCTCTCCAGCCTCGAACACCAGAAACACCGGATCCAAACCCCTGGATTTTTATTTCCATGAAGATGAAAACAGAGGTAAAGATTCTGCCCCAAAGACTATTCCCCCAGAGGTAAAGATACCGCCCCCAAAGACTCCCCTAGGGGTAAAGATTCAGCTCCCAAAGGTTACCCCAACTATGAAGAAGGCTCTGTGATTTGGGAGTTGATGCAGAAAAAGAAATCTTCATCACAAGATAAATCCAGAAGTAAGGACTCAACACGCAGGAGAGATGCCCTGCAGCCAGGTAAGACTAGGAGCAGAGACACAAGATCCAGGGATGTAGGATCCACGGACCCAGGATCCAGGGACATGAGATCCAGGCAAGACTCCTTGCTTCGCAGTAAAGCTTCTCACAGAAGCCCCACTCTGAGAGATGAGGCGAGAAGTCGGGGTGAGGTGAGAGGCCGGGGTGAGGCGAGGGGTCAAGATTTGTCTGCATGGCAAGATTCTGTCCTCCCAGATAGGCGTGGACAGAGAAGTCCCAGTACCCAGAGTTCAGAAGCCAAACAGAGGTAAGTTGAGTTTGTGAACTTGTACAGTGTTTGACAAAATGACCTCAGCACTTAAGATGTCATTACTTGGGATACTTGCAAACATTAAGTCAACTACAATGGTAAGAGACCCTTGAAGATCTGGATTAGAATTGGTATTTAGTAACCCATGATTGTCGTAAAAGCGATTTACGGGATCGGGTGGTCAGACTCACTGACTGAAACTTCATCGTATCACAGTTGCGTAGATCAATGATGATACTGTTGATCAGTGGATGGTCTGGTCCAGACTCGATTATTTACAGACCGCTGCCATATAGCTGGAATATTGCTGAGTGCTGCAGTAAACAACAAACCAACCCAGAACAATGGTAAAGCTAAGATTGTTTTGTTACCTTGGCGCATTAATATTGCACTACCGGTGTCATTAATAAGTGAGAATTGTTTACCTCTGATTAGATTATGAAGATGAAACCATTGCAATAAGTGGCTGTATAAGTTACACCTTAAAACAAACATGCCATATTAGATAGTGTCTGTCATTTTATCAAAATCAAATATAGTAATAGTAATAGTCCGCTTATATGGCGCTCATATCCAGGCACATTGCCTGCTCAGGGCGCTACGTGCATTACTATCCCTGGTCATAGGACAATATCGTACTTTCCGATACTTTTTTAGGCTAGGTGATGGGTTGTAATTTGAAAAGTGTACCTGGGCCTGTCTATTCTGACTGGAAATATTCTTCAGTGTGCTTCCTAGGTTACATGAAATGTTCATTCTTGCAGACAGATCCGGAACTTCAAGCTGTTTTCTGGAGAAGGACTCGGTCTATTTGACCATGTAACACAAGACAAAACAGGTACAGTCCATTAAAGGATTAAAACACTGAAACAATCTGATGATGTTTTCACACATTTAGTGTTTCATATGTCTGGGTTTCCTTCTGTCTTTCCATCCAGACTTCATCTTCAGCAATTCATGCTTGTAGTAAGAGGCGACTAACGGGATTGGGTGGTCAGGCTCGCTGACTTGGTTGACACATGTCAACTCATGATACTCATACTGTTGATCACTGAATTGTCTGGTCTAGACTCGATTATTTACAGACTGCCGTCATATAGCTTGAAAATTGCTGAGTGCGGTGTTAACAACAACCCAAACCAAATCTTTCCATTCACCTGCCTGTCTTCTGACATTGTTAAACACATGATTGTCTGCTTTGTTCATTTTTAGTGTTTTTCTCTTTTCTTATTGTTATTTCCCATGTTATACATTCAGACAGTTGGAAGCATGGGCAGGTTCTGTATGTACACTAGCATCATCACCAGATTTCCAAATATTTGTGGGGTAGCCTTGTGGTTAAAACATTTGCTTGTCATGCCGAAGATGCATTCCCCACATTAGTACAATGTGTGGAGCCTGTTTCTGGTGTCCCCTGCCATGATATTGCTGGATTCAGAATATTGAAAAGTGGTGGAAAAGTAAACTCACTTCTCACTCAAGTTCATACCTTGTTTTCCAGCATGTCTATGCTTGATGTACGAGGATACCGATAATTGTTTTATTCATTCACAGCTGTCCCGGGAGACGACTCGGCGGAGATCGCTGTGGGACGAGGTGCAGGAGGAAACCCTGGCGGTCCTCAAACAGAATCCCACCAATGCATTTGAGGAGATGATAGAATGGACCAAAGAGGGCAAACTGTGGACATTTCCTATTGACAATGAAGCTGGTTGGTACTTCTCATAGCCAGTAAATCATGAAGATCTGGGTTAGAATTGGTCTTCAGCAACCCATGATTGTTGTAAGAGGCGACTAACGTAAATCACTGCATTTACATAGCTTGTATGGGTGGTCAGACTCACTGACTTGACTGACACATGTCATCGGTTCCCAATTGTGTAGATCGATGTTCATGCTGTTGATCACTCTATTGTTTGGTCCAGACACGATTATTTACAGAGTGCCAGAATAAAGCTGGAATATTGCTGAGTGCGGTGTTAAACAACAAACTAATCAAGGTTTTGAACATTTAAGCTGACACATAACTATGAAACTGTAGATAATGTGTTTTAAATCACAGTCAGTCAGGTTTTCAGAACAGGACCTCTTGCTTGTCATAAGAACAGACTATTTGGTTGTCAAGGGCACAGATTTCTCATGTTGTTGTGCAGAGTTAGGTCCCTTGGGTACATCAGGAACCTGTGGTCAACAGTTTAGATTTCACATTCTTCCCAATTCTTTCTTGGTTTGTTAGCAGCCTTGCCATGGGAGTGTGTTTAACCCAGACTAGTAAAGTAAGATACCTGCATCAATTAGAGATTTCCTGTCTCATTAAGTTAGCACACTGTGAAACAACTTGAGTTCTGTTCAAAAAGAAGTTGGATTGTTTGGTCCAGACTGGATTATTTACAGACCGCCGCCATACAGCTGGAATATTGCTGAGTGTGGCATAAAACTATACTCACTCACTCAAAAAGAAGTATAATTCAACCAGTTCTTTCACAACTGATATTTTTGTTCTGAATACATTTAATGTTCACAAATTTGTGTCTGCTTTGTTCAGTCAGCATGTTCAGTCACCAGGTTAAGTTGAAAACGTTTAATAAAATTTGAAACAAAAATATACATGCAATACATTCAGCCATAATCTTGTGCTACAGATCAACACAAAGTATTGTTATATCAGCGTTTAAAATTCCCGCCTGCCAGACCGCCTGGAACGGTCTATTTTCATCTCGGACGGTCAAATTTCAAAAGTAGCCTGTCCAGAGGTCTGGTTTATATTTTTACCCCTAAGAGTAAATATTTCATAATATCAGACAGGTTCTCTTGTCGTCAGTTTGAGGTGTTTAAGGTATTTTGATACTTATGTTAAACTACTTTTGATTGGACAGTTCATGTTACGATAACCAATCACAATCATGTACTTTCAGTTTACCTAAACTAGGTGCATTGCCTGTTAGTGCTATGCAGTTCATTGCGATGCCTACAAACAATGAATGGAGTTTGCGCGAGTTGGAAATGGCAGTCACAGTTTTTTATTATTGTTGAAAACCGGACGGGAAGTTTGTATCCGGACTGGTTATTTTTTTAAGTTACCAGTCCGGCTGTCTGGCTTGGAATTTTGGGAGTTTTAAACACTGGTTATATGAACCTGTATAGCTATAAACCTTATAATGAAATGTATGAACCTCAAGTCACAGAAGTAACAGACGAAGCAGGAGTGATTGTTTTAGTTTTGTATCATATTTTTAGTTTAATATCACTGGGCTGTGTTAATTTTAATAACTACTGTGTGTCATATCTCGCCAAAGGTCCTTGATTTCCAACAGATAGATCCCAATAAGGAGGGTCTGTGATACATATCATCCCACGTTGTTTTCCACAATAGACAGCACATGGGGGAGTTCACACAAAATCACCTTGGAGATGTAATTGCATCTCAATTTGTTGAAGACAATTGTGACATCATCAGTTACCATGGCATCACAATCAATTGGCATCACTAAACTCTGTGCCACTGAAACTGGTTAGGGGTCAGGACGTCGACCTTAGGTCAAATCATTACGGATGAAAAAGGGTGTACGTCCTGTCCCTTTCGATATTTCAGCAATTAACATTGGATTATAGAGACAATGACGGATCCACTTGTTGTTAGAAGATGATAATCCGAAATATGTGGATGGGAGCACACCTAATGTGAAAACGAGCCAACTATATGTCCAAAGATGGTGTTTTATCATCCAAAACTGTGTTCCACAGGAGATATCGCTTGTGTGAGATCATATGATATCTCCTAGGAGATATCGTTTTGGCAGTAGATTTTGGACAATGCTATGACGTCATCAACTTGATGATGTCACAATGCTATGACATCGCTGCACTGCAAGTCTAATGGTAGTACAGTGTTGAGAGATGTACATTTGTCATTGAAAACTAATGAAGAATGATTTTTTGATGATAAATACAATCTCACCCTCGTGTCTACTGATATCAATTACATCAGCACTCATTGATGAAGGTAAAAATATCCTCGGCAAGCCTCAGATATTTGCGACTTTATCAACTCGTGTTGATATAATTGATATCAGTAGACACTTGGGTGAGATTCTCTATTTATTTCAGTCTCAGTTCACTTAATATGAATACATTAAGATATAAAACACATTAAAAAAATACATGGAAGAGTCAAGCCAGGAGGGGTAGAGAGAAACTATACAGACAGATTTATTTAACCATGTTACAACATGCCACATGCGATGTGTTCACTTCCATCAACCACCAACCTTGTAACATCCTGTCAGAGGAGATTAGCAATGTGCTAAAATATCACCCAAACTTCAAAGCGTACCACTTGCCATGTCCTGAGCCTTATAAAATATCCAAAAGTCTACTTCATGAGCAGACACCACTGAAACTGGTCAGCTATGCATTTAAGACACTGCTTATTACATAATTTAGACAGACTTGTGATATATTTGAGATTAAAAGTCGATTAAGTGAGGTCCCTGTTTGAGTGATTTAGTGAGTTAAAATTTATAGTCACATCAGCAATATTTCAGCCATATTGTGACTAAAACAGGTAATTCATTAACAATAGGGAATATAAGGGCATAAAATCTGTCAACAAAGGACAGTAAAAAACTAGAATATCACAATTTGTGGTATTAATCTAGGATTAATTTTAAAATTATGTGACTATTTGAGACAATACAATATAGAAAACAGGCTATACATCGCCAACAACTGAAGGTAGATCACCATACTTGGGACTTTCTGTACCTTTGCTACCTGCATGGACCCCAGCTGTATTTACACCATCCCTTCAGCTGTTCACGATTGTAGTCAAATTTAGCCATACATTAAAATAACACATATTCTACGATTAAAAACATGTGATATGAAGAATCCTTTGAATAAAATGGGACTTACATACCTTCTCAGGGGGACAATAATTTTACGCTACTTCAACCCCCTTTGAAGGTAATGCCACGGTCGCTATTTGAATGCGGGTTCATAACTAGGTTATGGTACAGACTATTTAGAAGTCCAGGCAATTCCGGGACATTTGGGGCGCAGGGGGAGCCTAGTGGTGAAAGCGTTCACTCGTCACACCAAACACCTGGGTTCGAATCCCCACATGGGTACAATGTGTGAAGCCCATTTCTGGTGTCCCCTGCTGTGATATTGCTGGAATAGTGTTAAAAGCTGCATAAAATCATACTCATTAATTCCTGGGTCATTTATCTATCATTAATCTGATTTTCAGGAATGTTGGAGCAGCAGAATGTCAGCTTCACTGAACATGTGTTCCTGGACCAACATCTGGAGGGATTCCCCACGCGGGGTCCTGTCCGGCATTTCATGGACCTTGTGACCACTGGCCTGTCCCAGAACCCCCACCTAGCTGTCCAGCAGAAGAAGGAACACATTGAATGGTTCCGTCGGTATTTCACGGAGAAGCAAGCGGTGCTGGAGGAGAACCTTGGTCCTGATGGAGTCGTGAAAGTAGTTGCAGACAAGCAGCTTCAGTCACAGTAGTAGATGTGGAGATTGTGTGGGACATCATGAACTGATGCTGTTTGTACATTTAAAGAAAGCGTGCTGGAGTGAATACATGTTACATTTATTCAAGAATTGTTGTTTGTGTCTTATCATATTCACTTTCCACTCTGACACTTTATTGATATGTTTTGTTGTTGTTATGCTCGCACTCAGCTTTATGGTGGCAGTCTGTAAATAATTGATCACAGCTTGCATAGATCGATGCTCATGGTGTTGATCACGGACTTGTCTGGTCCAGACTTGATCATTTACTGCCCGAAGTCATGTAGCTGGAATATTGGTGACAGCATTGGTACTTCGGGATACCAAGGAATAACTACTGGTGAACGCCCCGTGAAAGGTTAGATCATTAATGGTCAATAGTATGAGAACTGGAGGAAAACGTCCTGAAAACTCACTTAAAGGTGGTTTGTTTCTAAAAGGCTGTGTAGTGCAGTAGTTGCAGCTGTGCACAAGGCTGTTATCGCCAAATGTATGCCTATCCACCAGATTAGACACCATCAGATGTCACTTCTTTTGGGACTTTAAGATGGAACTGACTGGCATGCATTATGATGCTGATGCTGATGCTGTGGAGGACTGTTTACTCCACCAAGAGGAAGACAAGGCCTTCCATGAACTCCAACACTGTTAGCTGAAGTATGCACCTGAAGTATGTAGCTGAAGTGATCACACACTAGTTAGAATTGGTCTTCATTAACTCATGCACGTGGTAAGAGGCGACTAACAGGATTGGGTGGTCGGGCTTGACATATGTCATCGTCTCCAACTGCGTAGATCGATGCTCATGCTGTTGATCACTGGACTGTCTGGTCCAGACTCGATTATTTACAGACCGCCGCCTTATAGGTGGACTATTGCTGAGTGCGGCGTAAAACAACAAACAATCAAACAAACTCAAAGTGAGCCATCTAATTCACTGCACTCAAAGTCAGCGATCTACCTCACTCAGTCTAACTCCCTCAAGTCACCGTGGCCTCCACAAGAATAGTCAGTCTGACAACTGGTGGTTTAGATCACCTCTGTACACTGCTCCTGTGGCCGAAAGCTATGAATATAAAGTGAGTGAGTGAGTGAGTTTAGTTTTACTCTGCTTTTAGCAATATTCCAGCAATATCAGGGCTGGGGACACCAGAAATGGGATTCACACATTGTACCCATGTGGGAAATCGAACCTGGGTCTTTGGCGTGACGAGCGAACGCTTTTACCACAAGGCTACCCCACCGTCCCTCTATTAATACACAATGCCCTTCAGAAGGACGAATGTAATTTATGTAGGATTACACACTTAGGTATTTTAGTTTTTGTTGTTGATTTGTAGAACTAATTGTATGGATCGTTGTAACATCGATGACAGCTCAAATATGATTTTAAAAAAGTTGCAATTCGCTGACTAATTGAAATTTGAGTTTGCTTTGATAATGATCGGGTAAAATCAATTAAACCCGTTTTTAATTTCCCGTTGCCTTTTTGTTTCCACAGCCAAAGCTGGTGATCATAAAACAAATCACATGCCCATGCACGCAAACGTAAATCAATACTTTTACTCGGGTTTCACTTTAAAAGTCAATGCACTCCTATATTAGATTTCTTTTGATGTCTAAATGTTCTTGTATTGTGTTACTTCCATGCATGCTTTCTGTTGTGGATATTTCATTATGGTATTCTACACACAAAAAGGATCACAACATTAAGAGGTATTACGTCAAGTTATGTACATCTCATGAAATAACCAAGTCAATATTGCGTAAAGACACAACATTTTATGACCAATAGAAAAAGTCCGTTTTCATATGATACAATGCCAACAATCGACATTGAGTGAGAACACAAATTTAAAAACTGCAGACGACTCCTCGCATGTACACAGAGAAAGAACAACCTAACGAGATTTCTTCCACAAAGTTGGAAAGAGCAACGACCACGCAAACAGCTCGATAACAAAACTATATTTGTTACATATGAACCCAAGTGCATTCGGTTAAAGAGTGAACTTAAGCAAAATGTATCACGCCTGACGTCTTGTCATAAAGAAGCTGATACCCGTTTTCTGCTGCATGGTCTGCTTGCCTCCGAGGAATATCAAGACCTTGTCAATGTTCTTGTCACAGATGACACAGATGTGCTTGTAATATGTCTTGCTCTCAGCACAAAGATCAACAGCTGAATCAAGAACAGACGAGGTACAAAAACTCGTCAGAGGCTAGTGGACATTACAAAACTTGTTGAAGCTTTAGGAAATGAAGCTTGCACAGCATTACTGGGGCTACATGCATGGACTGGATGTGACTCGCTGAGTGCTTTAGCTGGTCATGGCAAGCCGAGAGCACTGAAGCTGCTTCTGAGAGGGGAAAATGTCAGGGAAGCTTTTTCAGCTGTTGGTACTTAGTGGCAACTTTCTCCTGAAGTGCTTAAGATTATCCAACCCTTTACCTGTCAGCTTTATTGCAGCAACACAAAGGTAAACAAAGTCAGTGAGCTGCGTTACAAGATATTTCGTGGCAGAGGCGGTATGTTGAGCCTGGACAGCTCCCAACATGTGAAGATGCGCTCTTCCAGCACACCCTTCGTGCCAATTACCAGTCAGCAGTTTGGAGGAGGAGCCTTGCGAATTCACCAGACTTACCTGATCCCTCTGCAGGCCATGGTTGATGACCGGCTCGCCATCTCCAGAAGTGGTCCTCGGTCTGATGTCATGCAAGTGTTCACGTTCTTGCCGACCATATGAGTGCACATGTTAAATGGTGTTAAATGCACATCTGCCTGCAAGTTGCCTCACTGCTCCAACGTGGATGATGAGGATGAAGAGATACATCAAGATGCAGATGATTCAAGCCATGAAGATGACTGAATTTGACAGTTGGATAGAAATCACATTACAGGTCTGGGAACGTAATAAGATGACCTCATTTCATAAATGTCTATTATTTACAGACATGTCCATGGTACTGTTAAATGTACTGGCCATTGCTAAAGAATGTTCCAATGTAAATGCAAATCTATCAAAATGTCAAATGTTTCATATGTGGCTACATATTGCTACATGCTACATCTATTATAAAGTGTGAATTATTGAAGAATACTGTGGCATTTGAAAGAAAAAATGTGAGTGAAGTATTTAAACAGGGTCATTTCTTTGTATAACTTCAACATTAACACAATAATTTCATATCACTGAAATGTCAAAAACATTACAGAATATGTGAATATAGTGTTGAAGAGTTTTTCAGTTAACTGAAGTTGTCTGAAATGAATAAATTGTTTGTTAGAAGCTTATTTCTGAAATCCATAGAAAAAGTGAAATAAATGGTGGCCATCTTGGAAATGGCCGCCAAAATCATATTTAGCTGGGCATCTGAAATGTCCATCACATTAAGTCATACAGTTGAGACATAAAGCTTGCTGAAAATTATATTGGTTATTTGTCCCTCTGTTTGGTAGTCAGATTTGCTCTGGCTCATGGTAAATTTTTGCTGAACGACCGCCATTTAGTGAAAAATAGGACCTGCGTTATAAACCTGATTAAAAGTCTAGTTTAATTTAGATTTGAATATTAAACGGAACCAAATGTATATTAAGGGACATAGGCTTTCTAAATTATATAAGTTCTCCTCTCTGTGATCATTATTGTTCCGAGAAAATAACAAAATAGCAGCATTTGGGGGGAAAATATTCATTTTTCATAAATTTTTCCAAGTTTAAAAGAGCAATCATGCTCAACCGACACAAATTGCAAATCAAAATGTAGGAAATTGAATACTGAACATATGTCATCCACTATGTCTAGTGCTTATAGTTTTAGCTGTAGCATAGCTTTTGTAGACAAACGGTCGGGTTCAAGATAATGGCTGCCATCTTTAAAAATGGCCGCCAAAACCGCATTTAGCTGGGCATGGGAGGTGTCCATCATGTGATTTTATAAACTACATACCTTCAGCTATATGGAACTCATAGTGACTGTTTGCCCCTCAAACTGGTAGTCAAATCTCATCTGGCTCATGGACTATACGCCGCTTTTAGCAATATTCCAGAAATATGACGGAGAAACTGGAGACCGATATCATTACTAAATGTGTCATACACGATCGGTTCGGCAACAGTAGCAAATAGAATTAAAATGGTATTGGCCTCAATTATTAACGAAGATGACAACGGATTCCTTGGTAATAGATATATTGGAGAATGTACACCATTGATATACGACATAATGGATTATACAGAAACTATGGACATTCCTGGAATGTTACTACTGATTGATTTCGTAAAAGCCTTTGACTCCGTAGACTGGAACTTCATTGAAAAGGTTAAATTGCCTTTCTTAATTTTGGGGAATCTATAAGAAAATGGATCAAGACATTATATTGTAACATAAGCTCATCAGTATTGGTAAATGGCTTTGGTTCTTACTTCTTTAATATAACTAGAAACTTAGACAAGGGGATCCCCTTTCACCTTCTATCTTCATTATATGCGCTGAAATCTTATCTGCAATGATTCGAAACAAGCCAAAGATAATAGGTAAAACAATTACAAACACAGAATATCTAGTCTCCCAGTTTGCAGATGATACATCCCTTGTTTTAGATGGGACTGAAAAGTGTCTACAAAATGCTTTACAAATATTGGACGACTATGCCTCCTTTTCCGGTCTGAGAATAAATGTAAGCAAAACAAGAATCAGTTGGATAGGATCTCTCAGAGGATCAACCAACATTTTATGCAAAAATGGAAACTTAACTGGTCCCAAGCTGACTTTACTATTCTCGGTATGTATTCTCTCTAAACCTAGCTGAGATGGTTGAAAGGAACTATAAAGACAAACTTAACAATATAAAAGACAAATGCAAATATGAACAGCTCATAACCTTACACCCTTGGTACGATTACAATCCTGAAATCCTTAATTTTGGCCACAATAAACCACGTATTTTCCGCCCTACCTAACCCACTAAATGACATTATTAATGACCTAGAAAAGCTATGTTTCTCCTTTGTATGGTATAACAAACCTGATAAGATTAAACGCGATATCATAAAACAAAAATATGAGGAAGGCGGTTTAAAACAG